AGCGTTGTCTGGTTGTCAAAAAATTCGAATGCCTGGATTATAATGGAAGTAATACCATGTTCTGACTGACAACGAAAACACTTTGAAAACGTGTTTTGGGATTGTGGGCTGAAGGCTGTTCACACCGGCTGTCAGTGTTTTCGTTGACTTTTCTTACATCCTCTGATTACAGTTTTGCTACACCAAACTAAAATGCTTTTCCCTCATTTTCTTTTCATTAGCAACCTCTTACTTTCATTCTTATTTTACTTTTGCCAGCTAATTAACAATAAATTCGAAATGGCGTATTAAAGATGACAAAATATGACTTCCACTTCGATAAATAATCGAAAAAAACTGGTGAAGACACCGATTGGAATGAGTGGAACGTGAGTTTTCAAGTAGTTTTCAGCGAAAATTGGTTTTCGTTTGACAGATTTTACATGGACGAAAACGCAAGTTTTAAGTCGAAAACCAGTTTTAGCAACATGTTTTCGTTGTCGGTCAGAACATGGTATAACGGAACGGAGTGAACTTTCACTTAATTATCTGTTGTATGGGCAATAAATTCAAACGGTTATAATGCACTTGAAAGCAACGTAAAACGAAAGCATCTAAAATCAATAGATCCCTACGAATTCGCCTCGGTTTGTTACGATGCGCTCCGTGCATTATAACCAAGGTATAATGCCCATAAAATTCACTGTGCAGCGAACAAAGGTGGCGCCGTTAGTGGTACCGCTACTTTGGTTTTCCCCAAGGTGTTACTGGCGAATTAACATTTTCGCCGCGGTACTTATTAATGTCAAAATGATGTGTTTGTTGTAAACAAGGCGAATTAATATTACAACAACTACACTATTCTGACATTAATAAGTACCGCGGCGAAAACCTAAAATTTTTGCTGAAGCAGCCTCAGTTGCAGAGCAATATAGTGCACTTATTCTCTAATAAATTAGGTGAAAAATGCAATATTTTCGCATTTAGCAAAATTAAAACACGTTCTTCGCTTTAAAGTGAACTGTTTTGGCAGTTTCAACTCGTTCTTCTTTTCGCTCTATTCTTTATTTACTTGTGGTACACAGATGTCAACGGAAAGGACGACGCAATTTTGTATTATAGCATTCTTGTTTCTGTTCCTGTTTCGCGTTACTTCTGTTTTGCTAACGCTGCTCTATATGCTATCTTTGTTCTATCTGCTACACATTTCTAATACCCAACTGCCCTAGGAATTTTGAGAATCGATAAGTTCACCAGATAATCGATATTATCAATGAAGTCACTTCATTAATGTCGTCTCCCTACCGTAGGACAGAAATTCGTTTATTTTAGTCTTTTAATAGGGAATAGTTGTAATTTTAAGCTATGACAACTCCTCAAGTGATGCGTATTATGGCTTTGTCCATCAACACAGCAGCGCGTGCTGGTTCAATAATTCGAGAAGTGATGCAGCGCGGAAATCTCGGCATAGTGGAGAAGGAGGTCTCGACGGATTTCTTCTATGCAATGAACATTGTAATTAGATTTGTAATTTATAAACATGTTTCTGCAGGGCAAAGACGATCTGCAAACCGAAGCTGATCGTTCAGCACAGCAATGCATAATTGCATCACTCTCACGAAAATTTCCAAATGTTAAAATTATCGGTGAGGAAGGAGATTCCAACTTAGATGTGAAAGACGAATGGCTAATCTCAGAGGAAAATGAAGAGTTTCTCACTCACAAATGTCCTGAAGATTTGCGAGAAGTTAAAGACGAGGATTTTGTAGTATGGGTAGATCCATTAGATGGCACTTCCGAATATACACAAGGTATAGTGATTTTCATTTCGCCTTTTTAATTATTGCAATATTTATTATTATAGGCTTATTAGAACATGTCACTGTGCTTATTGGTGTAGCCATTAAAGACCGCGCTGTTGGAGGAGTCATATACCAACCATACTACAAGCAAACAAATGGCAGTATAGGTCGAACTATCTGGGGTCTTAAAGGTTTGGGAACGGGGGGAATCGAGCCAAAGACTGCGGCAAAAGGACAAATGATTATTACAACAACACGTTCACATTTAACCCCGTTGGTGCAACAAGCTCTCGATGCGCTATCACCAACAGAAGTGATCAAAGTTGGCGGTGCTGGGTTCAAAGTTCTACAACTGTTGGAGGGCAAGGCTCATGCTTATGTGTTTGCTAGTCCTGGTTGTAAGCGTTGGGACACTTGTGCCCCGGAGGCTGTGCTCGAAGCTTGGGGTGGTACTCTCACAGACCTAGCGGGCATTCATTACTCTTATGCAGCAAATGTAGAATTCAAAAATCGAATGGGTGTATTAGCTACCATTCCAGAGATTTCACATTCCGATATTGCAGGTAAAGTGCCAAAAGAAGTTTTGGAGGCCTTGCGCACATAAAACTTACAACAATTGATTGCTAAAATCCAGGCAATTTTATTGTGGATGTAAAACAATTTGTTGCTTTGAATGGTCATGCATATTATAATCTAACTGTTAAGCATAATAAAATTGTTGCTCTAGTTAAATTATTGATGTTTTACATTTACAATGAGGAATTATGTATAAGCAGTGCATGGTTCACAACTCAATTTAGTTGAGTTGTGTCTGAACCAACTCAACTTGTAGACAACTCATTTATTGCTATTGCCGTTCACAACTGTTTTCAGTCGACTGTAGCCGATGAGCCCGAGAATGCTGGTGCAAGACAACTGACAGACAACTATGTTTTCAAAGTTGAGTTGAGTTGTGTCCCACAATACCAATTTACAGCTTACAACTCAACTATCTTCAAAGTTGTGAATCATAACAGGGGTCTTAAACACATACAGCCCAATTCTGAATACTCCAAAGGAGCTTGTTCTCCGGGAATTTGTTTCTCCCGAGAAAGAAATCCTCCAATAATTAACTCCCAGGAAGTAGCATTTTCCCCGAAAATTTGGAAGGAGAAAATTCAAACTTCGCAAGAGCTGTTTGATACTTTTTTGACAGCTCAACTCCGCCATTTAATATAAAAAATCCACAGAAAATGTTTATTCATGATAGGAAAAAAAGGAAAAGAGAAAAAATTCCCAGGGAGTTCCTGTTCAGAATCGGCCTGATACTGTTACAAAATCGAGCGTCCGGCTTTGTTTTTTTTTTTTTTTGTATTGTTAATATTCGCAATGTGTTCATGCTAAAATTTTTTTGTTAGTTTTGTAATAAAATATGGCTTATGTGATTTTAGCAAACCCCTTTTAAATTAAAAAAATTAAACTACGAAAATTAAGAAAAATCTGTACAGCTTCAGCAAATCGCAAACTTTTTAATACGAATATATAATTCAGTTTTATAGCCCATTAGTATATTATGTTCAAATTTCAAATGTCTAAAAATTCGCGTTGATTTTTGAGTATTTTTTTGCTGACTGGCCTACACATTTTTTTCATATAAAAAAAATTATATGAGCAAAAATGCCACAGTGACAGTCAGCAAAAATATTCTCAAAAATCAACGCGAATATTTAGGCATTTAAAATTCGCACATTTTTATATAAAAAAATGTAAAGGTGCATAACTAAATTTTAGTTAGAAATTCGTATAAAAGTTAAAAAGTTGGCAATTTTGCTGCAACTTTGCAGATTTTTCTTAATTTTCGTACAGTTTCATTCTTGGAGTTAAATGGTGTTTGATAAAATATAAGCCATATTTTAATACAGAATTAACAAACAAATATTTGCGTGTAAAACATTGCGATTAACAAAAAAAAGGCGCACGCTCAAATTTTGTGAGTAACAGTATGTTGCATATTTACATATTTTTTTAGATGTGACTTCGGGACGCATACTTCTTTATTAAAAAATAACTAAAAGTACAAAAGGTAATACAAATTATTGAAAGAGCTGAGAATATGAATTAACGTAAAAAGCAAAATAAAATTTTACAAAAATAGATAAAATTAAACAAATATGTGTCTCTAACCCTAGAGTGAATTATTGCTAGATGTATTTAAAAAACGATTGCGTTTCGCTTTAGCCATTTTACACGAATTTACAGAAGCTGCAAAACGTAATGATTTTACCGACTCTACAAAACAGTCTAAGAAAGGTGCCACGTTAATAAACATTAGCGTTTTTGAATTGCCTCCCAATGATGGCATTAATAAATGAGTTAACTTGGAATTGCGATAAGGTATATGATCTTGTTTTTGTAGTAATGCTAATATGACATTCGTAAGCTCGGAAAGCGAACGATTTATGTTTTTAGTTTCGTTCATGCGTATGCTGGTCTTAGGAGACTCAGAGCCTGCTAAATCAACGAGATTTATCGTTCCCACAGACGTCTCGTTCTTCTCAGCATGATAGCCAATAAGTTCTATTTTAGTGACAGCATGGGAACGCGATGACCGCTCGTTGCCGGCAGTAGCCGCTGTAGCTCGGTTCATTTTCGCCACATCCATAAGATCTCGCAGACGAGATGCCGACGTAACAGTCTCCTGAGTTATATTTGAAACATAGATGTCGTTCTTGTTGTGCTTGGCCATGCGAATTTCCATATCTTTTTGCTCATTGCTTAGCAGGTCGTATAGCACTTCGTTGTAGATTTCCAGAAATGTTACCCGTATTTCATATACCCAACCAAGACGTTTATAATTTTTGATAGAATCAAAGAGTAAATCAACGGTACGTGGAATTACACCCACATTGGTTGGTACACCATCCATTGTGTATGTCTTACCACTGCCAGTTTGTCCATAGGCAAATATACAAATATTGTAACCATCCAATGCAGACTGTATTAGAGGTGATACCATCTCAAAGATATCCTCCTGTTTCGAGTTTGGATGGAATACGTGATCGAATGAGAAAGCATGCGCCACGCTTTTATTCTTGTTTTCATAATTTTGTATCTCAACAGTAGATTCATCGATGTAATTCCAACCACAAAGCATTTTTTCTTGTTCAAAGTCCAATGGCGGACGAACACGACAAAACACTCGTATGTTACCTCGTAAATCCATAATAGTGTTATGTAGTTCTTTGCGTTCCAAATTGGCTCTAAACAATTGCTCTTTGCAAGCAGTCAAATCTTCGTTTAATATATTATTTTCCGCTGTTAAACGTGTCGTTCGCTCGCGTAGATCCATAACTTCATTAGTTATAGTATCGTGTGCTTCTTTTAGGATCTAGAAAATGAAAAATCAGAAAAACTAATGTCTAATTTATTGTCTGTATGTACAAACCTTGTGCTCCTTAGTTATGAAGTCCAATTCTTCTTTTGTATTTACAAGTGAACCTGAAATCGAGTCAATCTTCAAGTTCAAAGATTTAATTTGCTGACACAAGCAGTCACGTTCGGTATAAAGGTTTTTCAGCTCTTCTTTAGTTTTAAATAATAGGTCTTGTGATTCCTCAAGTTGTTCAGGTACACCTTCTAATGATCCCATTTGTTCACACTTTACTTCATATTTAGCTTTCAGTATTTTATGTTTTTCTAACAAATCATTATACCGCGCCTTAAAATCGTATGGCGGTATGCGTTTGTTAATAGGTTTTCCTGCACCTGTGGTTGAAATCGACGAACCATTGGAAGACGCAGCCGCTTTATTGACAGCAGAAGATTTTGTTGTCGATGTAGTGTTTGGAACTGCTGTACGTCCTGAGCTGCTGCTTCCAACTCCAGCTCCCATTTGAGGTCGCGTTGCTATCGGCTTCCTAGTAGTCACATTAGATGGAGCTGGACCGTTTCCAATACGTGGTGGTCTGGAAACTGCACTATTTGAAGAAAACGCGGGGAATATTTGCGTTGACGAAGCGGTGTTATTTGTGGCGCCTGTATATGCAAGGCGTGTTGTCTTTGCGGGAATAGGGCCAAGCGTTGATTCCGGCCGTTTCATTTGTCGCATGTCACGGATGTCACATGCAGATCGACTTCGACGTAATCTGGACCGAGGTACACCTGCATTATTTGTGTTGTTCGGACGAGAAATGTCTGGCGATGCTGCACGATCTTGAAAATTAAAGAAATGTTGTCTATATTTTATCACTAGCTTAATATTAAGGAAACTAATACGATGTTTACATGAGGCGATGTTACAGCTTTTCAACTAATCGCTTCCAATAAATTTGGGGGAGCTAGCTTTCCTCATGTGAACATCGTTTAATGTAAAGATTTATGGCAATGTTTTCGTGTTGCTTCAAATCCAAATTTATATGTTTATTATCACAACCACCATTCTCCACATTAAAAGCCCATACCTCTACGACCATTTGTTAAATTTGTAATATCACGCGCCAGGGGTTGGAATTGGTCTATTCCGCTAATTGAGAGATTCACTGATTTTGAACCAAAGCCAAGCGTCCCTGTTTTTATTCTATCCATTGGCAAAATATTTTTCGTTAGCGCCGTAGGCCGCTTAAGTCCCGATGGCTTTGGCAACTTTGAATCCATTTCAAATATTGGCGCAACTTTCCTATTCTATATATTTTATTATTTGCAACAGCGGCCACGACCAAAGAAAACACTTGGAACAAAAATGCAATATCAAGAATTGAAGAGAAAATCTGCCGTTAAATTGTACTAAAATTTAGTACGATTTGAACGAATGTTTGCAAGTAGGAAACATTCGGAAACTACATACTAGATTAGGGATGATTATCGTTTATACAAATTTTTAAAGGCCTACACATGCATGGATTTATCGGTTAACCATTTGAACCACCCCAACAAACATTTAGATTTGAGCTCAACTTAAGGTTATGTTGACAACAAAGCTCAAGTCTCCAACGTTGTTTCTCAACAATAGCTCAAGTAAAGAAGGTAAATTTATAAGGGACAACTCGTTACTTTGAAAATGTGCCGAACCGATTTTGACCGTATCTGAAACGTTTGCAACATTAATTCATCTCCGTTACATATGTTACCGCATAACTTTGGATCACACTAACCGATTTCTATAATCATTTTTTAAAGGAAAGGTGTTACGAGAGGTGTAATTTTGGATCATGGAGAAATTAACATTACACTTAAACTTTTATATGAGAATTGAATTCGGTTTTTTTTTTGCTTAAAAATTACTTCTTTTATTTTTTATAAAAATATGTTTCATGCTTTTAACAAAACCATATACATACATCAGGCAAACTTGCGAACTTAATACTAATTCGCAAAAAATGCAACAAATTTCGATCAAAATTTGTATCTGAATTCTTACATATGCAGTGATCTGTTACCGTTAAGCTACTCAATCACTTATACCGCTTGTCAAGATTCATATGAATTGACAGTCTAGTTTAGTTTTAAAATGCCGTCGTCAAGGAAGCAACTTAAAATTCTCGTCTCCTTCCCGTACACACATTTATAACTTCTGCAGTAATATCTTCCTGAGTATTTTTAGCTAAATTTTGAGGTACCGGAACAGAGTAACTTTCTTCAGCTGTTTGAATTGACTTTCAAGTTGCTTCACGACAAACAACGTAAATCTGTGGAACATCCAAAGTCTAAGTCCAGACGGAGAAACTTTTGTTGCCGCAACTCGTTACTTTCGGGAGAAGGAGCGACGCGGAAGGGGGAAGGGCACCGAGTTGCTCGTGCTCGGGCAACACGCTTTGTGCTATCGTTGGTCCGAGTAATTCTAGCTGGCCGTTCACAGCTGACAACAACAATTGTGTACAAAAGAATTGCTCTGTGTGAACGAGAAGGGCAACACCAAAAGAGAAATTGCCGAAAATGAGCAACAAAAGTTTCTCCGTCTGAACCTAGTCAAAACAAAGTAATTTATAAATCAATAAACCACCGTGTATGCGGTACGTAAGATGTCTGAATTCGCGCTGAATGGCTGAATATGCGAAACAGTAGGAAGAAAAATGCACTACCGGAAGTATAGGGTGATAACCCATTTTTTCTCTGGAATCTGGAATGCACTACCGGAAGTATAGGGTGGGCATTTGGTCCCAACCGATATTGGTCCCACATATAATATCCCATTCCATGTAACTGTAATTCCATTTCCAATTAATTAAAAGAAAAAAGAAAAACGAAAGAAAGCGCCAGAGGTATTTATAAAAATTAAAAAACGTTAAAAAATCACACAAATTAATAGACGTCCTTGAACGTTAAGAAACTTGCAAGGTAGGCAGTCGAAATTTGTAAACAAAATGTGATTATATATGTATATTATTATAGTATATATTATATTATTATTATATATTATATAGTTAAATTATATAGCTATAGTTGCTAGTTGCTTAAAAATTAGCCGTGAGCGAAAGTGCCGTGCACAAAATTGCATTAACCATAGCGAGAGGCGGTTTTTTTCGTTCCCAAAGGACGCAAGTGAGGTGGCCAAATGGAGGAAGAATCTCCGCACAGTCAATCACAGTGAACTGGGTCAAAGCGCTTTATGTGTCGGTATAAACAAGGTAACAATTGAGGTAATTCACTCTCAAAATTTATATACATATTTTATGATTAGGGTATGATGGCATTCCGCCGTATGCCTGCACCACGTCGATGAAAACGCGGATTTGCTGTGTGACGGGATGCGTGTCTGACGGCCAACCTGTTTTGCACGCGTTCCCTACAAGCCGAAATTACCAAAATAGTTGGGCCGAGGCGTGCAACGTGACACCATCAAACACTGGAAATTTATTTGTCTGTCAACGCCATTTTGAGCCTCACTTTGTAATGAATTCTAAGCTTTTAAAAGGGGCTTTTCCCTCACTAAATTTAGAGCCAGTAACAACATCTAGGAGTCGCTCACCCAGTATTGTTTCTGTACGTTCAAGAGCAAATTCAAATGAATGTTTAAAAGAATTTATCGAAATTAGGCATCCAAACATCTGCGGCGTAGACTTTGACTCCACAACCAGCGGCGAACGATTTGCTCAGGCTTCTGGTAAAAATCAGAGCAACGAGGCTAATTTAAAAAAAAAATTTAAAAAAATAATAATAGATTTAGAAGAAGAAATACAGAAACTTCAAGAATTCTACGCTCGGGCAATTGTACCTGATGCTACTGCTAGTAGCAACGCTATTAATTTTGCGAAAATGATCGTGAATAGTAACCAAGGTTCTTACAGTGAGGACGAAAAGGCCTTGGCCCTAAGTATTGATTATATATCTACAAAAACGTATTATTTTATGCGTGACGATTTGGGTTTTGCTTTACCAGATCGAACATCTCTTTTGCAATGGCGCCCCGTTAGTCATGTCGATCCGGGGTTAGATGCAAATGTCCTTGAAAACTTGCGCCAACTTGTTCGAAATAAGTCCATAACCGAACGCCTCTGCGTTTTAATTTTCGACGCAATATGCATAAAACCAGATCTCAGGTACAACCAAACTATTGACACAATTGATGGGTTTGTAGATCATGGGAAAGACAAACGCAAGAATGTAATCGCAAATAGTGCTTATTTCTTCATGGTTAAAGGTCTACTTTCTGAATGGAAATATGTATTTTCGTACTATATTTCGAAGAACGGTTTACACGAAGACTTGCAAAATATTTTACTTCAAAATATAGACGCATTAAAGAAAATAGGGTTGAATGTGAAAGCGGTCGTTTGTGACCAAGCTTCCAACCATATTGGTTTATTCAATCGTTTCAATATTTGTGAAGGTCGACCATATTTTATGTATGATAACATAAAAATATTTTGCATGTATGACTATTGCCATTTAATAAAAACAATTCGACATACTATAATAAAAGATGACATTCAAACATCCGACGGCATTGCGAGCATTGCAGTAATCAGGAAATTGTTCGAGATAGATCAATTAAACAGTAATTTTAAAATTTGTCCGAAATTAACTATGACTCATTTATTCACAGCACCTTATCAATACAGCGTTTCACTTGCAACTCAATTACTGAGCAATTCGGTAGCTGCTGGGATCGTAATGGCCTATAGCCAAAATTTACTAGGCATCGATGAGAACGTACAAGAATGCGCCAAGCCTACGCAGATGTTTGTGAAAAAGATTAACGACCTTTTTGATGAGCTAAACTGCGAAAATCCATTGATGTGTCCAATAAAACGGGGAGACACGGGGAAAATCTAAAGGCTAGATACACATTTGGAATTTTTGCGGTCAATGACGCTCAATGGCACCCGAATGAAATGCAGTGAACGCTTAGGTATAACAATAAAGTCCATGCAAATGCTTTCGAAAGAGCTCTTTGACCAGCACCAAAGTGCACCGCAAATTTTTCTAAGTAAATTTTGTCAAGACGACTTAGAAAACTATTTTATTAGAGAAAGAGCTAGCCGAGAGACAAGTATCAATGTTACAGCTCACGAAATCCGATATATAGCTGCTACATCAATTTCAATTAATATTTTGCGTGAAAGATTGGTTAATAAAGGGGTAGATTGCGATGAAGACGATATAAATGTAGTAAATAATTTAAACCCCGAAGATCGTTATTATGAAGAACGGGAAACGTTAAATGAGCAAATCGTCATTGAAGAATTAGAAATTCCAGACGAGAATAATGCTGACGTTCAGGTGCAGCGGTATTTGACTGGTTATGCGATTGACCAGCTTAAATGCGAAAAGTGCGCCAGCATCTGGATGAAGGCACATGGTGATTTATTACTAGACTCAGAAGCCCTGATAAAAGCCGCAAAAATCTTTAGGGACGACTGCAGTTTGAAAAGTGTCAATCCTCAAGACTCCGTTTTCGAGGTGTGCCGACATCAGATGGTGTGGTACCGTCAACTCTTCGCAAAATACGCTCATTTAACGGATCTCAGATCTCGAATGTTGTCAGCTATCATAGAAAAAACCGATCAAGTTTTTCCACTGTGGTTCCTGGAAGCTGGCGACTGTTTAAACAATCGCTTAAAACTTGTAGAAATTTTTATAACCAATCTTTTATTTAAAAACGCAAATTGGGCGTTGAGGGAGGAAGAAGCACCACTATTGGGTGATCTGTCCCAGAAGTACGGTTTTTTTATTTCACGCACATCTACCGACGTTGGTCTAAATTACGTAGCTGGTCGGTCCATCAATTCACAAGTCTGTTCCTTTGAACTTCGGACTAAAACCTGTGGAACTGTCAAACTACAATTTTACTCTCTCAAATGAGAGTAAAAGGAGAACAGATGCAGAAGTGAATAGGAACGCAAAAAGCACTATTTCCTGTAAAAACGTCACTCGGTTTGTTTACATGTCATTTGTACAACACTGATTTAGCTGAAATATCACTAAATAATTAATAAAATCTATACATATTCAAACATTTCGTTGTTTAATTCCATTTTTTTTACAAATATAAGGTACTTTGCTTTCACCGCTGTTTGTTTTTGCTTGCACATGCAAATCAGCTGATCGTTTGACACTTTTCATGAACTTACAGGAAAAAAAACTCCGGACTAAATCCTGTAACTTCTGACTAGGAACAGTAGCTCAGTTACTCTCTCAAATGTGTTCCCACTTACAGGTTTTATGTCAATAGGAACGACTTCCTGTAAGTTCTGACTAAATCCTGTAAACCGGACTGCTATTGGAACAGACTACACAACTGTCAAGGCGCATCAATTACAGGCATGAACGAAAGACACAAGATCACGCGGGAAGGAAAGAACGAAAAAAGTTATTTTCTAGTGCCGAAATCTCGACGCCATCTTTGTTGTAAGAAGTAAACAACGAAGAGAACGGAGAAAACCGCGAAATTGTTGAACGCATGAAAAATCATTTTTATTATGCAAATTCTTCTATAAATCGTGCCGTTGTGTTAAATTATTCTTTATCTTATGTGTACACACGTTGTCACAAGCGAAAATGAAGAAAATTGCAGTAAAAAGCCACCATCAAATTGTAAACAACGAAGAAATGTAAACAAACGGCTAATGTCAAAATCGTTCAACTTTTTTCCTAAATGCGATTCTAACGGGCTACTCTCCTGCCCGCGTGATCTTGTCTTTTTGGTTCATGAATTACAGGTGATAGCGATAGAAGCTATGCTTCTTCTTATGAGCACGCTTGTGTCAAATTATCGTCTGTTTTGCTATATTTACATATCCGCGTACACATACACATATACGTATATATATACCCTGCAAACAAATGCTCCCGAATTCTTTAAGAGTGTCGGAAATTTGTTACGATTCTTTTAGAAATCTGTAAAGAAAAACATATGAGGCGGTTGACAAGAACTAGGAAAGAAATTTCTGTACGATTTCTTAAAGAAAATTCTTAAAAAAATTGTGCAACCTTTCAGAATTCTATGAAATCCTGGTATGCTGGTACGAATATGAATAGATAAAAAAGATGGTGATGACACAAGGAGTTCATACCAACGGTAAATGTTGTTTTTGTACGATTGCTACAACCTGTAGTTGTTGAATCATGACAACTGTCAACTCATTTTTCGTCGGCACTACCGGAAGTATAGGGTGGGCATTTGGTCCCAAACCGATATTGGTCCCATATAATATCCCATAATATAATAATGTTGACGTTAGAGAATACGTGCAGTGCGAGGTTGAGTACAGCTGAAATTTACCAAAAGGAGAAAATACGGATTTTGAATTTCAGAGTGTCGCAAAATTGATAAGGAGTAGAAAAAGGGTGCAACGAAAACCAATTGCATCTGCCATCGATCTTCTAGGATATTTCCAAGGTAAGAAAACCTGAAAAATAAAAGTGAAAGCGTACCAGTCTAATTACAATCACACATGCAATAGCTGCTTGTCGCCATTTATTACGTTGTTGCTATCGCCATGACCTTCGTCTTTTACCTTCCATGCCTTGCAGTCGTCTAGTTACAGCACAGTCACTTGGAAACCCAAAGTAATCGACAATTAAAAACGCTTTATTGTTTTATCGGTCACAAAAATATCCTTACATACATACATACATACTACATGTTATTTAGTATGTATGTGTTATTTTTTAAAACTGTTTGGTCTAGCTGGGTTTGTTATACAGAATTGCAATTGTAGTCATTCGCAACTGGTTACGCGGGGATCTGTTGTGTATGGTCTTGTAGTTCTTCCGATTAATTTAAAAAGTAAATCCAAGCAGCTACGAAGTGAAAAGTTGAAAGTTGGGAATTTGTCAATTGCATTGTGGTTAAATATGAGCACTTGACCACTTATTTACATAAATATAACCAATATTATGAAATATTTTCCTTATAGTCACGATCGGTCTATTGAATTAAAGAAAAAATACTGGGATTGGCTATTAGTTATTAGGTAAAGGATTTTTAGTTTGGAGAAATACCACTGAGCTCGTTAATTGTAACTTGTAACGTAAACTTTCCCTATTTTATTAAACATGCTAGTAAAAAAAGTCATGAAGGTGCTGGAGAGTGTGATGGTAAATCCCATTACTCATTGTTTGCTTTTTGGTCATTTCGTATACTTCATACTTCTTAACCCGGCGAGAATGAGGTGAAAATTGTTACATAGAGTATGAGGCAGGGTATGATATACCCGTATATACAATTCTAACTAGAATTGATGTACACATTGCGCCGAATACATAAAGACTAAGCAGTTGCCTTTTTGAATACTTCATTCCCTTCACTTAAATTTATGTGAACAAATTAAATAAAAGGTCTAAAATTTTAAGAAAAAGCATTTGTTTAAGTTTTATGCATACGGCCCATTATTTATTTACTTAAATTTCTTTGAATATTTCCACTAAAAGGTCTGAAATATTAAGAAAATGAAAGTGCCGGTTTTTTATTCTAAGGCCCATTTCATGTTTAATAATACAGGAATCTTTCGTTTTCGGGGTCTAACGAATAAATAAACTTGTCTGTCTTTTTGTGGGTATGGGGCTATTCGGAAATGTAGCAAACCAAAGCATGAGTCTCTTTTATTTCTAAACTAATAAATAACTAATAATTGATGGAATTGTGTTATATCCGCGAAGAAGTTCTTGAAATTCTCCAATGATCTGGCGTGAGACCCTATCAAACACACATAACACCCCTTTTTCTAATAGTCCCACTTTTTTCCATGAGTATGCGATTAGTAAGATGGCGGGTATGTCATACCCCTCGAACTCGCCGGGTTAAGTATGAAAAGAGGAAATGCTGTTAAAGCAATGAAAGTTGGTGAGTGAACGAGTCAGAAAAAGAAACAAAAACAAAATATTGAATATCGAAGGGGTGGCGGAATACGTAACTGTTGCTATTTTGTTTTGATCACACTTCGCGAGGGAAATAAAGAAATTGCAAATATGTACAAAAAATTCCTGTGGAAATTATCACTTCCGAGCGAATTTCAATCGAACTCGCTTTGAATTCAAATTGGCGTGGGTTTAAATTCACTCGGAAGTGAATTGCAGAACCTGCGAGTATGTATATACATACATACATACATACATACATACATACATATATTTATACGCTGTGGAGAGACGTAAGTTTTTTTTTCTAAAGCATAATAAAAAGTAAATCATTTGCATATTTGTATACACGAGCGCACTTGTCCATAAATTTATTTATTTACTTTAAAGTAGCTGATAAATGGCTGTTAGACGTGTGAAGTGCAAGTCCTTTCAAAAGTCTGTCATACTCAAGAAATTTCGAAAGAGATTGCAGCAGCAGTTACACCTTGCATGTAAAGTGGCTTTCGAAAGCAGTTTTTATTTCTTAAACCCACGGTGAATAAAGACCTCTGTTACCAGACATTTTTATGCTCATAACAAATTTACTGACCTGAAAAATTTGTTAAAAATGTTCAAATGCGAACAAAAGAACCACATAGTGTTTAATGCTTTAATATTTATATTGTTCATATCGGGATTATACAATAATTACAAGTATTTCTGTGTTCATATGGAAAATAAGCTTATGTCGAAAGGCTGGCTTTGGTATAAATCGGCATTCGTAGCATACGATTGCGAATGACTCATTAGCGCTGAGCCGTTGAACAACTTTTGGCAACTAAACGTGCAATAAATAGTTCCGATACTAGCAAGTCAATATTCTTATTAGGTAAGTCTCATCCAAAAACTCCTTGTCGTTTAAAAAATAAAGGAAATGCCGCATTATACTAATCACAGATTTAAAACCAAAAAAGCCTAAAATCCTATATGGCGGAATGTTGCCATATGAAATTTAGGGGCATAACTGGATCCATGATCTACGCGCCAAATAGAAGGAAACTGCATTGAAAAATCGCTGTTTAATTTTTTTTTTTTTTTTTTGAGAAAAACTAACTTTACTGGGCTAATTTTGCAAGCTTTTATTTAACTTGCTCTGTATAGTTGCGTTCCAGATGCTTCACGATTTGCAGGTTTTTACAGGAAGTCGTTCCAGGTGACCACCTCCCATAAGGTTTATTAATGGAGAAAACAGCTGTTCCTGCAAATCGTGAATTTCGTGAATATCGTAAAGCATCTGGAACGCAACTAATATAAGTATGTTTGTTAGGGACAAATCTTGCAATCAATTTTTGACTAACTTCCCGATGCCCTAGGGACTTGAAACTTAACAGTTGACTCAGAGCTCGATGACAATGCAATATGAAAGATGAGATAATTGCTGGCGCAGGAGTTGAGATATTTGAAACATCCCTATTTATAATCCAATTTGGTTCATATTTAGAATGTATATTAACTATTTTAAAAGGAATAGCTCCACTAAAAATTTTGCTGATAGGTGGCGCACGATTCGATATATGGATTTGGTTAACCAGTATTTATGCTCCGATTTCGTTCATATGTATAAAGTTTGCTTTAAAAAGATTGTTTTTACTATTAACTTATTTAATGGAATTTTACGAAAATTCCGTAATACAGTTGCCATAAAAACTGGAATAACTCAGATCATTCACAACACATATTTGATTCCAAAATATCACTGCAAAGGTAAACACTCAACCCTTTGATTTATTGGTAAATTAATCCATTCCCATGCCATATATTAGAATTATATCAAAGCTTAAAATAGGATTTTATAAAAATAAGTGGATTCTAAATTAGTAGGGAAACTTGACGAACACATTTCAGGGATTTCGGAATGAGAATATTATGGGAGAATATTGTTGAAAAAAATACGTGAAATACAAAAAAGTATTTAAAAGTACCCACATTAATCACTATTTGCAATCACGCTAAAATCGCGCAATATTGTTATGTATTTTTATATTTTTTCCTTAGACTTAGTCAGACGTATGGCTTGGAGGCGTCGATATGTTCATATGCTGATACATAAAAAAATTGTGTTCCTGTATTTCAAGATCATATACATATACATGTATATACATATGTAGATATGTTCATAAGCACATATAAAAATTTATTATTAACCAATGCTAATGCCAAGAAGTTATATTAAATATGTATAATTAAGCTTTCAGGCAATCAGCTCGCACTTAAAGACCTCTACAAACAAAATGGACTTTTCGAATGCTCTTTGTCGCAATGAGCCGCATCAGCGTACTATTATTCACCTTGACATGGACTGTTTTTATGCACAGGTTGAAGAGATACGAGATCCAACTTTGCGCACGCGCCCACTTGGTATACAACAAAAAAGTTGCTTAGTCACATGTAATTATGTGGCTCGTGAGTTCGGCATAAAAAAATTAATGTCAATTGAGGAGGCACAGCGACTCTGTCCTACCCTAATTTTAGTCAATGGTGAAGATTTGACTCCTTATCGACAAATGTCTCAGCGCATATTTGATGCACTATTGGCTTTTACACCATTAGTGGAAAAGCTGGGTTTTGACGAAAACTACTTAGACGTATCGGCACAAGTGCGTGGTCGCATTGAAAAGAACTTATATCAACATATGGACGGTTCAATAGCCTCACCAACTGCATTCCCAAAAGTCGAAGGTCAAGTGTATCCTGAAAACGGCGACTTTATGTCTAGTTGTGCCTGTGGTTGTGCACAGCGTTTAGCGGTGGGTTCGCAAATTGCCAAGGAAATACGAATGAACTTGCATGATCAACTCAATATCACCTGTTGTGCTGGGATATCATATAACAAATTATTGGCCAAATTAGTTGGATCCCAACATAAGCCTAATCAGCAGACTGTCTTGTGTTCCAACTATGCAGAACAGTTCATGCGCGATTTAAATGGCTTACACAGAGTTACTGGGATTGGGCAAAAGACCGAGTCATTGTTGCTAGAGAGTGGAATTGCTAATATTACGGAGTTGCAAAATTGCAGTATGGATTCCTTGAGAAAGAAGTGCGGCTTTGAAACGGCCTCGAAATTGAAAGATTTGGCTTTTGGAAGAGATATGAGTTCTGTGCGTCCATCTGGAAAACCAAAAACTATTGGACTGGAAGATTCATGCCGTCCAATATCAGTACGTACCGAGGTTGAGGAACGTTTCCGTTTGTTGTTAATGCGTCTAGTTGAGCAAGTGAGTAATCAAAGTATATTAATATTGATCCGGGACCGTAACGGATATTAAGATGTAATAAAAATATTGATTCAGTCGTTATTCAAATTTTTTTAATTCATTATTTTTTTAGTAGCTTTTATTGTTTACATTCATTATCAGTTCGTCGAAATATTTTTTTAATTTTTGTATGTATGTTACCGCATAACTTTGTACCATGTCAACCGATTTCGATAATTCTTTTATATATATATTTTTGTTTTATATGAGAATTGAAGTCGTTTTTTTTTCTAAAAATTATTTGTTTATGCCGTTATGAACGTTAAAATACACTCAAAGCTGATATTGTAACAGAAGAATAATTCAAAACAGCACTTTCAACTACTAGCTAGCAATTTAAACGATCCTTCATTTTGTTATTTATATTTTTCGATAAAAAATAATCAATATTTTGGACCAAGGCGAATTCACACAATATATATTTTGTTTCTACTTTTAGCGGACCATTGTCAAATTTCAGCTATTCTCTCCAGAATGAAAAAGGGCGACAGAAAATACAAACAATCTCGCCAGAGGTGTTAAAGAATGTAGTCATCATAACTTTAAATCATTGCAGTCCCATTCATTGACTGCAAAGTTGAAGTCATAAGTCTTCTGTAATTTTTGCAGTCTGAGGTGAATAGTAAAATTCTAAAGCAATCTTTCCGTGCACTTCTTCATAGAATTATAATACTTATTTGTTTAGAAAATAAATGAGTAGAGAACCTTCATTGAATCCTTTCGTAATGAGGATTTGTACAGATACTGTACGACGAGTTTATGCTGTCGGAACAAAATTTAAAATCGCTGAATCTTAAAAATAATGGAAAAAGCTGCCTTAATTTTAATAATAAATATTTATTATCTATTTGTCGACTTTAAAGCCGCTTTCGACAGCACTGAAAGGAGTTGCTTATACGCCGCTACGTCTGACTGATATGGCTGTGTAAAATACCACCAGCTCCGTCAGAATTGGGAAAGACCTCTCCGAGCCGTTCGCCACTAAACGGGTTTTCAGACAGGGCGACTCCCTTTCATGTGACTTCTTTAATGTGATGTTGGAGAAGATAATAAGAGCTGCAGAACTGAACCGCTCTGGAACAATTTACTACAAGAGCGTGCAATCGCGGCTCCGCTGGAAAGACCAGGTGGAGAAGTACTTGGCTTCACTTGGCGTCAGTAGACACAGAAGAGAAACGAATTCTAGACGAAAGCCTTTCTACTGCGCCCGAAGACGGCAAGGGTGTGGTATATTTAAGGTACGCCTTTTTTAATAATCGGGTACAGGTTGAGCATAGTAATCTCTGTAGATTTGATCCTCCATGAAAATGTTCTCGGTACTTTCGTTCTCATTGAAAACGTTCCCGAAACTTTCGTTATCATTCTGTTCTTCTTGACATTACCTTTTGTTCTCATGCAAAATTAAAACAAAGACGGAACGCGTTCCCGATCTCTGAAAAAACATTCAAAGTACAGCAAAAGAATGCACTCAAATGACTAACAAGAAATTACTAAAAAATGATTTATGAATAATAAATCAAAAAAAAAAGAATAAAGACTAATTTTTTTAGTCTTAGTCTGGACTAACAAAAAATTATTGCAATCACGTGGGACTTCAATCAATTTAGTTAAAAATTACTGCATTCTTTAACACCTCTGGTATGGTGAGAGTCTCTCACGTTTTCAATCACTCACTAGCAAAATGCAAAAATTTGACAATCAAACGCTACTCACAGCTGATTAATCATATATAAATTCGCTTTGTTTTGGACTTTTATTTTTTGATTTTGTTATAACCGTAATTTTAAGATATATTTTGTTAAACCATGATTCAAAGCGGTCATAAGAATTCAAGTATGATCGAAAGGATTTAATCACAAGAAAACCGGTTGAAAATTAAAATAATAATAAAAAAAATTCCACATATTTAATCAATCAAATTATGTAGGTCAGTCCAAATACATACGTACATACATCATCCAATAACAAAATGTTAGATAATTATTGACAGCCGTGACTTGAGATTCCCTTACAAAAGATTGTTGAATTATGTAAATTATGTGCTATTGAGCGGTATAAAAACTGCGAAGGGTCTCAAAATTAAAATAAAATATCAATATGCGACTTTTTAACAAGTTTTCGTGTTGAGTTTTGGCAATTTTATTCGACTATTTATTTTTTATTTTTTGTATGTAGAAAATTTGTAATACAGTCAGAAAAAAATTAGCAAAAATCAACGAAATTTTTTAGCACCTTAAAACTTACACTGTACTATACTAGAATTTAATGGGATATAAGACTGTCTACTCAAAAAAATTTTGCAATATCTGACTAAAAGTTTTGATGCAATTGCAGAGTTTTCATAATTTTTGCACAAAGTTTGAAATATGAATTTTTATGGGTTTTGTTACTTTAACGAGCTAAAATAATAAATAAACCAAAGAAAAATTTTCAAAATTTGTTAAAATGTCGCGTGCCTATCTTTTTTTCCATCATTGTACTTCAAACATTTAAATGTGTTTTATATACATGCGTATATCAAATACGCCAGGTTATCAAGCCTTAAGCCTTTTTTATTGAATCATGGTTCCAATACTTATCATTTTAATGAAACAATTTAAGTGACTTTACAAGGTTTGGCTTTTGGATTACTTTCGAATGAAAGAGCATCTTTAACTACACCTATTGCTATCGTTAAAATATTGTTTAAGAACCCAATGATTTTTTGCATTAACGGTTAAATGGTCGAACTCGCGACATAAGTTGTTTTATCTTACTAAAAGACTGTCATTACTCGAAAAACGAGATTTTTCATGAGATGCGTTAAAGTTTTCAAATTGCTCCCAAAATGCAGAAAAAAGAACTCCATATTGCTCTTTACTCGTAAACCATACAAGACGAAACACGAAATTTTTACACAATATGAATCATCGTAAAACGAACACCTCCGCATCGTCTGCATTTCGTTTTTTTTTTGGTTATAACAGTCTATTAGTAAATGAGCGACATGTATATACATGCATATGTACGTATATATATACATGTATATTATTTTTAAAGTGTTTCAATAAATGAACAACTACTTTATTTGCACTTAGGTTGCAGACGACGGCCGTATTCCTGTCGCTATCAAAATCATTCTACGCAAATTTGATCGCCAAAAAAAGACCAGTCATCGTGAGACTAAGCAAGTGAATATTTTGCCCTCCCTCTTTAAGTCACTGCCATACACTGAATCTGGTGGTCCCAAAGTCATACTGGCTGATGGCTCTCAAGAAAAGCTGTTAAAAATCATACTACGCCTTTTCGAACGCGTCGTAGACCTGACCAAACCGTTTAATATTACTCTGATTGGGTTAGCATTTTCAAAATTTCAACAACGTAAGCTCGGTTCTTCATCCATTGCGAACTTTCTCATCAAAAAAACCGATTTAGAAGTTCAATCTATTACATCGTTAACAAACACAGATGTAACCACATCATCGGAAAGTCCAACACCTTCGATTTCATCAACAAATAGCGACGACGCTTTCCGTTCATCGCCTACTACATTTCAGTCCAGTGATCAGTTTTACCGTCGACGTGCAACTGCCGCTTCACCCATTCCCATGTTGATTGACAACGGTTCTGAATCTGCGGCAACAAATTCAGACTTTTCGGATTTTTCCGAGACCGAGATAGAGCCTTCACCCAAAAAGAGTCGGATTGGGCGCCTATTAATGGCAAAACGACGCTGCCTCGGAAGCTCAGCCGTTTGCAGCTCCAATGATGCCGCCGACGTTGCGTCACCGAGTAAATTACGGGTTTGTGATCTACGTTTAAATTCACGTGACAGTGAGAAAGATTTCGTTGCCAGTCCAACAAGCGTTTCGACAAGTGCTACCACTTCTTCAGCTGCGTCATCAACATCGCCAGCTTCAATGACGTCATTCACTCCTCTGCAGCGTTTTTGTACAATACAGCCTCCATCGACTTTACTTATGAAAATTAATCGCGGAACGGTAACCAATCGTCCTTATGTAACACAACGCCAAATCTCATCAACGCCTTCGTCCACAACTTCTTCACCATTACCATCGCCAATGGATGAAACTTGCAGTGTCGCTAGTACACTGGCAACTGTCGACATTCCAGCAGCAAAACAAGTAGGAGATATTTTACTATCCGCCGACACACAGATAGATGCTTTCACAGGTGAAACAACTAACTCTGATGTGGTCTCCACCACAACAAGTACAACTACCATTACCGGAAATCTATCGAACATTCCCTGTCCGGCCGGTGTGGATACGGCAGTTTTCAATGAGTTGCCATTAGATGTCCAAAACGAATTAATTGAATCTTGGCGCAGTTCACTGGCTGCAGCTGCAGTTGCCGTAGCCAATGGTAATATTAGACCAACCAGTAGTGAAGTTTCGCCTGGTGCAGCATCTTCCACTCAGACAACTACCACGGTTGCCACTAGAGCTGGCGGTGCATCGCCAAATACGAACAGTACACAAAAAAATACCCTTTACAGGTATTTCCTGCGAAACAAGTGATATCTGTAAGGCTCATTTTAAAGTATTTAATTTTCTTTGAGATGGGCAAATGCATGTTGACGTATGTATGTGCAAGGGCAAGAAATAAATATCCAAAAGTAACCATTAATTTGCCGCATGGTTCTCAATTTATACCATAACTTTTTAATCCTGTTTTTGTCATTCGTTGGATAGCTGACTAAGCATTTGTTATATAGTGAAAATTAAAGACGAAAATTGCGTTTTTAATAAAAAAAAGATATACAAAAATTACCTGAAGTGTTTTTACTTATAGCCGTTTTCCCAGTGTTCAGTTAACTTAGATCTAGCGAGAGCCTGCTCCCTAGCTACCTCGGGAGTTTTGCTTTGTTCAAGACACCTTACATATGGCCTCGCCACTGAGCCGCTGAGACCGAACCTCCTGGAGTCGGTCAGCGAACCGGATTTCCCTGCGTGTGGAAGAGTTGGCGGATTCGCCCTTCTATCCGAGTTGCGTTCCCTCTCCTTCTTCAAAGAGCCGCGCGAGGTCGTCGATCCGGACTGACGGGGGGACTAGGTTTGCCCGCGTGAGGACTCTATGATACCTCCTTCTCACACTATCTCTACGCGGTCTCATGACCACTATCTTCTTTTAAAGCCCTCTCGTTGTTGTTGTTGTACTGGCTACAACAACCTCGCCCAGATATGGTTGATATCTCAGTCGTTGTCGTCAAGTTCCACTGACGGCAGTCCTAAGAAGCGTGCAGCCTCCACAGGGTCGGTCCACAAGGACAAAGTCGTTAGGGTTGTCAGGTTTTCCGGGCATGCGAAGAGAGACTCATTTGGCACATCCGCGTTTAGTCTGCTCAGGTACGAGTTTAACCTGCTGCAGTAGCCAGAGCGAAGTTGAGCTATTGTGGTTCCCTCTCGTGGAAGATGCCGCTGCTCGTAGAGGGTTGATCGTCCTCTCGCGCGTGCTCTATAAAGAGTGCCGCTTCTTTCCCAGTTTTTGTTGTTGCTTGTACCTTGTTTTTGTTTTAGTTTTTGTTGTTATGTTCTTTAGTTGTCTTCATCTTGCTCGTACGACCGCATGTCTGACCAGCCAGGCGTAGCGGTCTAAGTAGTTACTGGGGATCTCAATCGTCCGCCGCGACAGCTCCCTTGCCGCGGTAAGGACACCGTTACTCCTCGAGGCGGCCCGGTGTCGAGAAGGCGCCGTTCAGTTCCAGCCGGTTTTCCTCCTGGCTGCAAACCGTCCAATGGGCACGGTGTCGCGTTGAGGATTTTTTAATACGATAGAGAAAGAGACTATTTGCTAGTCAGAGCTTCTGATCAGGTCAGCAATAGTTCCGGATCATTGGTGAAGGTATTAAAGGCAAGTTAATTGATTAAACAAAACATTAAACAAAATTTAATAAATTTTAAATACTTGAAGTCGATTTCAAAGCCACAACTCGCTAACTGTTTTCTGTATCTAGTTTCATTCCGCAAGTCAAATTTACATATATATATTTTCTTCAATTTCACACCCGGAGTATGAGAAATACACAAATATAGTTTCCAGTTATAGTGGATCCCAATTTTATTTAACTGAAGCTTGCCTTTTTTATACCAGTCTAATAAAAGGCTAACTACTTAAGTGTAAGCAAATTGGTTTTATACTAACATACATACATATGTATACATTGTATTTTTGAAAATTCAGTTCAATCATTTAATCTATACTTGGAACAAAAAGTGTGGTTGCACAAAACCTAATTGAAAACTTGATACAAGTAAGCGTTTAGAGATTTAAGTTATTGATAACTAATTCTAAAGGTTATGCTACGTATGTAGATGGATAGGTGTATTGCTAGTATTTTTCAAATGTATAATATTTATGCGCGTTAAACATTTATAAATCTAATTTATACCTACAAATTATCAATTAAATTATTGCAAAAGTATCGCCAGAAAGTCTGTTAGCATTAACAGACGAAGACTATGACAACAAAAATTTAAGTTTCTACATATTAGCTTTCAATTCAAAACAATTAGTTTAATATCCAAGTTTTTGTGTAAATTTTGGCCCCATTATGGCGACTGCTGTCTAGTAGCTTGCCTATCAGTATCGTACTTTGTATTACGTATAGCGATTATTCTCGTATACAGAAAAGCGCAGAGAATATCCGAGTTTACTTTTTTTACAGTAATTAGCCACTTTGCTCCTATGGGGTTTGTCAATTTATGTAAACAAATAACAAAATCGCCATAAGAGGGAAACAGAAAATGGTGATACGTCATTAGCCGATAGGTAGTAGCGAGTTGCTATACGTAATGCGAATTTTAGTATATGGTTGCCCACCGGTTATCAGTCGTCATATATAATAGGGCCATTACACATATATTTCTACAAATGCTCATCTTTCCTAGGTTAATTCTAGTGACTTAGCCAACCAACTTTTATAAAGTACTTCCGTAGCGAATTTTCAACTGGCGACAAGTTGTTAACAAGTGGCGCGCCGCTTAGCAGCAACGTCTTTAGTGATAAATAAGTTGTGGGTGGCAGGTTGAAGTCTTTGCAAACTTGTTGCTCGTTGCTAGATAGTAGGTTACTACCCAACGGCTGTGGTAGATGCTTGAGCTCGTCTAACTGGGCGCGCAAAATATTACTCATGGCTACTGTAGTAGGCGAATGCTGGGCCTTTAAGTCAAAGTTGTTGCAATTATTATTGTTTTCCTGAAACAATAGTTGATGTAGTTGTTGTTTTTCGTTTACGGCGACGTCGTTTATTTGTAACTGTGGTGGTTGTTGGTTTTTTATTAACATCGTTGAGTGCTGCGGTGTTGCAGCCAATGGTTGTAGATTGCCGTTCGACAATTTTGTTGCTGTCATCGTCGTGTTCATCATGCCCACTCCCACTATCATCCCCGCTGGCGATATCGTCGTATGAACCGACGATTCCCGACAGCTATCCGAGTAATTTCTGTTGTGCAATAATGCGCCGGAGGAGATCAGGTCGCCGGTGTGGTGCGTGTTTCTTGACGCGATTGAATTTAGACTTGCCTCGCTTCCGTTTAACATTTCTCTAAAAAAAAAAAAAAAACCGTTATATAGTTGTTACATCGTTATTAAAAGTTGATATGTTTGTACTTACACTTTTCGGCTGCTGGGTTGCGGAGAGTGTAAGAAAGAGCTTGGCTGCCGACGACTTCCAATGCTGGGCTGCGTGTGGTCCTGTGGTTAAACATTGTCTTATACATCCGTTCAAACGTTCGCCGCTTGGTGTGCCGATAATACACGCAAACTGAATATCGTGAAAATAAATGGAATGTTAGAAGTTCTATGCAAACTATGCGGCAAACAAATTCAAGTCAAACTACGAAAAACACTTCAAAATACGACACGATATTCAATCTTTCGTGTATTGTCAGTTTAAGCGAAAATTAAATAACTATAAACTAGTTCTAAGAGCTGTGTATATTAGGGTGGCTCAAAAAAAGGTTTCTAATTTTGCACCGGAATTATAAAATGTACCTATTATATTTAAGACTTTTGTCAAAATAATTCGGAAAATTATTAAGATCTACCCGGATGTGGACCGATTGGAAAATAACACCAAACGTGTCATTATTTCGATTCCGCTGATTTATTTTTTTTTTTAATTTGTATGCATACATTTTAAGCTTATGTAACCTCTTCTATCTGCAATAATTTTTTGGAAATCATTCTTTTAAAAACCGATTTTATTACAAAAAAAAATGTGGAAATTTTGAAAGCGGTCCAGCTCACGTAAACCTTGATATTTTTCCGAAACATTTTGGTGGACGTCTTAAAACATTGTAAATTTTATAATTACGAGGGAAACCCCACACCGATTTTTTGGCATGGAGTGTGATGCACCTATGTACACTTACATATAATTATATATTTGCATTTGTACCTGCAGTCGAGTGGACACATAGAGTATAGCCAACATGAACAAAGTAATAAACTGCTCAATTGAAACACATATGTAAATACATAGGTAAATTTAAAAACAGATTTTCTTTGGTTATAATATATGTATTAATTTTTAATACTTCTTATTTAAAATATAGTTCGGCCTCCCACTGAAAACACATACTAAGCAAGAGTTACAAAGCTTGAACAAAGTTCACAAAAATTAATCACATTCCAAAAAATCTCATCAAAATGACCAACTTTTTATCTACAATTTGTAGAAAATTTTCGAGGAAGCTATTCTATAGCCCAATCATTTTAGTAAAATAAGTGCAAGTTTGCAGTCGCTAAAAATTACCGATCATCTTTTTCCGAGGGTGTTAAGCATTTTCTTCCATATAACGCAATGACAAAATTAATTTTTATGTGAAAAAAATTTCGGCAAAAAAAATTATAAAAAATCAACGGTAATGTTTAGTGACTTTTAACTCGGTGATATTTTGTAGAAACTTCTAAATTGCATTGCATTGTACTAAAATTAAAGAGGCTACAATTCCGCATACGAAAAAATTTGGCGAGGAGATCTTAAGGAAAAGTTAGCAAATTCCATGAAAGCTTTTAATTCAGATGATTTTTGTTAGATAATATACTTTTATAAAAAATTAAACAAAGGAAAAATAGTCAAACTTTGGCAAAATGTGCTATTTTTTTGGCATAAGTATAGGTATGTTAGAAAACTTCCACCTCCTTGCTCTTCGCCAAACAGTCTATGTGTCCACACAACCCAAAATATGTAATTAACTTTTACAGGCATACTTACAGTCTTTCCATGGCCGTATGGCCCAGTTGAGCGATTCAATGCCATGGCTGCATGTTGTTCAAAGTGGCGGCATTCATCGATTTTAGTCAGTCCGTTATATCTATAGCGACATAACTCAGCCAATCGTATTCGCAGCTCTTTTTCGCGTTCAAGTGACATTAATAGACGTTCGTATTCGTTAGCAGTATAAAATTGTGCGAAAACACGGAAACGATCACGAAATTCTTTTTGTTCGCGTGTCATGCCCGGATGCTGGGCATAATTGCGGTTGCGAAAAAAATTCGCTACCAACTGATAATCACGCACTAAGCGCTTACGACGCACGCGCTCACGCAGACGTCTTGTATACATGTCAACATGTGCCAATTTCAATAAATAATCAGCTTCAATGTCTTCGCTACTGAGTGCCATTGTTGATATTAACTGTTCTGCCGTTGGATCATATTCTCTTTCAAAGCCATCCCGGTTTGGCATGTACCCCAATTGCGCGGCCTCCTCGTTGGTAATATCTAATGGAGGCAAACGCTGCAAAGCAGTGGAGCCCAAAGGCCCATTGTCTTCAGACGTATGGTCCACCAACAGAGGTCGTTGTGATTGAGCGGGTGTCCAAGTGTGTAGGCCAATCGTGCCATTCACAAAACGCTTAACATATTCTTCTTTGGCATCTTCAGCTGACTTGGTCTCTATATGTTTACTAATGTCTTCCCAGTTTCCGAATCCATACTGTTCTATGGCATCCAGCAGCCTTATCTCCTCTCGAGCCGTCCAAGCTCCCTTTCCGCGAAATACGGATAAAATTGCTGTACCCGTGTCCATAAATTGGTATGCATGATTGTTTTGATGTGCACCGATCTCCGCACCAGAAGCGAAACACTATAAAAAAAATAAATAAACTCGTTGGCTGACAACAAAAACAAATGTCAAAAGTTTCCCAGATGTTGCCTGATAGTGAGTAAACAAATCTATATTCCAATGAATGGAGACGATTCCCATTTCCAATGGATGAAAAACGTCATCTCAAATCGCTGAACCGATGGCATCATCGGCTTTTCCAACGAACTCCCCCGAACATTCTGTAGAAATGAACATATTCCTAGGAATTTTACTCACTTGCAAACATAAATCAAAGTTTTCACATTCTGCGCAATGAACACGAATCCCAGAAATGTCGTCTTGGCAATTCGTGCAATTATATTTTGTAAAAAGATCTCCGATATTAGTCATTCTCCCCCAGCACAAAATATAGCTTGTGCTTAACCGCTTGCAGAAAAATTTTCTTTAGAAATGGCGACGATTCAACTATGTTGCCAGAGTGTTTAGTTTTAAGTACAGTGGCTACTGGGCACCATGAATCAAAATTACAGTTCACGCATAGGAATGCAAACGATGCATCGATATTTTTCAAACATCGATAACATCAGTTCGAAATTCGATATTTGCCATCGATGTTTACAATTGTCTAAAATCGCTAAGTTGACGATACATCGATGCCAGTTTCAATGATGTTTTAACATCGACTTTAGTGTGACTCGGACTTGAATTCAACTTACCCATAATGCTCCCACAATTTTTGACTTGCCATGAATTTTTATTACTTATTCTTTTGGTGAACACTCAGAAATTCCGAGTTTAATCTATCTTTCGATAATAAAAATGCTTCCTTAATCATTAAAAAAGAGCTGGGTTCCCGTTGAAATTTCAACGAAGTTGGACCTTGAAACTTTATTCCCAGCGAACTTACTACGGTATGCATTTTTTTCTATTTATAGGAAGAGTAGAAGAATGGTAAATAAATACATGGAAATACTTCCATAAATATGTAAGTATTTCTCTAATTGAATTACAGAGAGTAGTAATTGAAAAGTTTTAAATTTTCCTTTTATGTGACTACAACATCGGAAACCATCGATATATCGATATTTTTCTGGCGTTGTATTTTAGCATCGATGTTCATTTTTCCGATGCATCGAAACATCGATAAATCGATGTCACCCTCAAAAATTTGCATTCCTATTTACACAAGAACGCGACGTTGTATTTGTGACCAGTGATGCCAATACATTTTTGAAAAAATACCTACCGTTTCTCAAGAAAATTCTTTACTTTTCCCTACGCAAATATAAGATTACCTACATATAATTTTCATACATCGAAATGAAAAAAACTATCTTTTGCAAACTCATGTATTTCATTTTAAATATTAGCAGTAACTTACAATCTTCGCTGTATCAATATAATCGCGTAAATTGGCATCACTGTTTGTAACTGGTCACATCACAAATACAGCTGGGATACTATCGATAGTATAGCTGAAATTAGTCGAGAACGCAGAACGTATACTAACACCCGATTTACATGATTCAAGTACTTGAAAGCAATTCTTGCTCATTCTCTTTTGTGTTTTCTATTTGCTTTTACACGTTTCAATTCTGTTGAATTCAAGTTTTTGGTTCTTTAAATGGGAAGCAACGAAAATGCCAAAAGCAAAGCAAGAAAGTTGAAACGACTTGACGGTACAGACGCATGTGTACTCGTCCCTTTTGTTCTCACCCCCTCTCTCACATGCGAGCAGAATTGAATTCAATACTTGAACTGTGTAAAAGCAGTCTTAAACGCAGTCAGTATACGAGAATTTTGTCGATTACTGGAGCCCTCAGAGTTGCTTACTACAGTGTTGCCACTCATCAATGCCTTTTGACAAACTTACCTTTTCAACTACTATTTTTCGTGTTATAATAGATCGCAGCTAAATATAAACTACTTAGGGCCGGTTATTCAATGTCTGGTTATCACTAATCTGCGGATAAACAAGGTTATCCACGTTACCGACTCCCTGTTATATGCATGGAGTCGAAGACGTCGATAACGATGTTTAACCGCAGATTAGTGTTAACCAGACATTGAATAACCGGCCTTTAGTTTTCATCAAAAAACGTTATTCAATAGTAAATTTTAAGGCCCTTATTCATAAAAAATAAAGTTGCTTTAAAAAAGGTTTATAAATTGAAAAATGTTTGAAAACGTCAATTTATAAAGCTCTTTAAACCTACTTTATTTTTTATGAATAAGGCCATAAATATTTCAGATGTATATTGAATAGGAACTTATAACCTTTTTAACTATCAGCAAAACTGACGAAGTGGCAACCATCTATAGAAGGAGGAAATCAGGTGACACGGAAAAATCTAAATTCCGCAGATTTCGCGCTACAGGCTAAAACTACAGAAAAATTCTGCGGTGTTGAGTTTTCATTTACATTGCGCTTTGGTAAGGCAGCTGATTCCGGTTTACGTACCGGTAGGTTTACGTTCTTGACTAATTTCAGCTTTACAATAGTCGAATACATCGATCAGCTGTCAATTTTCCCATTCTTCTTCTTCCTGATAATTATCTGCTAGAAAAGAAACAAAGCCTCTGTTACACACAAAATTGGAAAATGCTTTGATGTAGTGAGTAAACAAAGCGCTAATTAAATTACCGACATAATTTATGTATTTGCGCTACGTGAATTGTTGGATATTATACAAAACTTAATTATTGCTTATAGGTGCTTGATAACGGAATAATTGTTAACTAAAGATACTGTTAATTAAACGAATTTATCAAGGAAACGCTGGAATATGAAGGCATCAAAAAACCGATTGTCTAGCCTGGCTGAGGACATAACCATTCCGGAAGATGCACCATTTCGAGCACGTCTACACATACTTTTCGGACAAATTGAGAAGGAATTTGAATTGTTGTACTTGGAGAATTTAACATGTTAGTTACAAAACTAATAAAATGATAAATTTTTGTCCATACATATTTATATATCTTATTTTTTTTCAACCAGTGCAAGAAAAGCTCGACAACTGTATGAATAAAGACCTTATAGCATCATATGAACGTTCGGCCGGAGTAATTGCCGCTGGTGGAAGTAGCGCGAATGCCTTTGGAACACATGCTTCTAATACAGGTTTGACAAGTTCTGCTCAAGCAAATATTCTCACCACCATGGGACACGATGATGTCGACACTCCGACGCTTGCACCAATTATTGGAGGTGGTGGCGGAAGTAAGGGCCTGAAAGCTAAGTTCACATCAAGCAGTAGTAAGGTAAAGGCTAGTAATAAAATCAAAGCACAGACAAGTCGAATAGTATCAAGCTTCAAAGCGCAATCAGTAGTTAGCCAAGTAACAAGAGAATTCTGCGGGCATAAAGACGGCGTTTGGCAAGTTACAGCCAAGGTTGGTCAGCCGATTATTGGAACTGCCTCTGCGGATCATACTGCTTGCATTTGGAGCGTAGAGAATGGCCGATGTTTATTACAGTATCAGGGCCATGCTGGTTCAGTTAATTCTGTGAAATTTCATCAGAATCGCGACCTGGTTTTGACAGGTAGTGGTGACTCAACTGCTCACATATGGCAGGCAGCTGTTAACTGGGAGTCCTCCAAGTAAGAAAAATTAAAATTCTATTTCGGAAGAGTATTCTATGCAGTTTATACAGCGGGAAACTGGACTTCTTATGTATATTTCAGGCGAGGTCATTCATCGGAGGAGGAACTCGAAGATAGTGACGAACAGATAGAAGATCGCGATCGCGTTGACACTTTACGTACACCATTGTGCGAGTTCACTGGTCTGGGCGGTCACTCATCAGTAGTGGTTGCTGCCGACTGGTTGCCAAGCATGGACCACAGGCAAATAATTACAGGTAGCTGGGATCGCACAGCAATCTTATGGGACGTAGAATCGCGTGAACCTATACAAACTCTGACTGGCCACGATCATGAATTGACACACGTATCGGCACACAGTAGCCAGCGCTTGGTGGTGACAGCATCACGGGATTCAACGTTTCGTCTCTGGGACTTTAGATGTGGAATTCCTGCTGTATCTGTCTTTCAAGGTAACACAGAGTAAGTGATTTCCTCTTTGTAAAAATTAATTTCCACGTAATTAATGTATTACAAATTAGGAGTGTTACGTCGACTGTGTTTGCACGCGACGATAAGGTGGTATCCGGTTCGGATGACCGCACAGTCAAAGTATGGGAGTTGCGCAATATGCGTTCGGCTCTCGCCACAATACGCACGGATTCATCAGTAAATCGTTTGGCGGTTTCCAGCGGTGGTATTATTGCCATCCCACACGATAACCGACAAATACGTTTATTCGACTTGAATGGACAACGAGTAGCGAGATTGCCGAGGACCAGCCGTCAGGTGATACTAATTTAATAAAATATCTACAAAAATAACTCAGAAGAACGCTCAAAAAGTGATGGTTGTAAAAGTTGGTTCCCATTTTTTTACAGTCCAAGAACATTAAACAAATGAGTGCAAAATTTAAAAAAATAATTTCAATTATAAATATCATGGCCAGGATTTTTTCAGACAACCACCTCGCGAAATATTTCCTAACACGTTGTATTTCATACTAAATAGATTTCATCCATTAAACAGATGCGTGAATGTCGTGCCCGTGTCGGATCTCCTACTATTATAGCGATCCCGCTCCGTTAACTTTTTTTTAAATAATTATTCTCAATGAGTCTTATATCTCCAAATTCAAATTAAGATAAAAAAGAAATGGTAACGAACTTTTTCAAATCCATTAGTATTTTCTCATTATTTGATCAGCTTAATCAAATACTGTTGGCCCGATTCTCATCACCTTCAAATTTTTGAAATTTGTTGCAGAGTGTAATTAATGATAAATATTTTTGCATTTCAGGGTCATAGACGTATGGTATCTTCCGTTGCTTGGGCTGAAGAGCCACTACTCAATTGTGATTTGTTTTCATGTGGTTTTGATCGCCGAGTATTTGGTTGGTCCATTATTTTACCCAAAGACAATTGAAAATTACTAAAAACGGCAATGTTTTAAACATAATTTTAAAATCCTAAATCCGGGAAGAAATTATACACATCAAAAGCAAAATCAAGATGGCGAAATCACGAATTTATTTATATGTTTATTACTTGTAAGATTAGTTGGATATCTGCTTAAAAGAGTAGTTTCCAACAGTATTAACAAACGAGGGTTACATCATCTTCATATGCATATGTATCTTTTTTCATTTATTCGCGTTTACGATAATAACACCTATTGTCTTATCTTGTAATAATTAAATATCTAATTTATCAATTAAATTTAAATTATGTATTTTATTTTTTGAAATTGCAAAGTTTTTTATATGAAACCCACATCCTGAAACACTAAAGAAAAAAGTTGCAATATTATTTTCAAAATGATCTACGTACATTTATGTATCTCCATAAACGAATTTACTCCATTATTAATTTTTTTTTTTCAGTAATACGATGAAGGTGCTATACAAAGCCTAACATACCTAAGAAACTTTACAGCTTTATATATATATATGTATTTATTCAGAGCTATCACAAAATCCATCGTAATCCGATTTTTTGTGAATTCTACGAAAATGCTATCATGGAATTCGAATAGCTGCGAGCGTAGCGTATACTTTGAATACACACGTTCGTGGCGATTCGGATTCATTGATCGCTCTTCCGTAGAGTTCACGAAAAATCGGACTACGATGGATTCTGTGATGGCCACCATTATAAAAATTCATGTATATGTACATGAAAAATACATGTGAACATCATTTGCCAAATTTTAAAATTCAATGCGAATATATTTAACTCTGCATTAATTAACTGCTGATTGATGTTTAATAAAGTATTAATGTAAAACTCTGCACATAATGACATTAGATCTGTTAAACCGCACCCTTATACACATAAGGTTATCATGCTCTAGGTAAATTGTAATTTCATAAATGTTATAAATGTGTACTGTGTAGTAGCATGGAAATGTTTCGAATAAAGTTTTACAGCTTGCATCTCAAACCAAACTACTCCTAGCTTAGTGGGATATCTGATTTAAGAAATTGTATTGTATATAATGTATGTAAGTTTAGAAACGTACAAATTTAATAACTATCAACCCGGCTAAAACACATATTTCCAGAATTATAATTAGCACCAGAACGAGTTTGTTGTAAAGTAGTTCCCGGCGCAGTTTTCTTATAATGTTTCTCGACTGCACAATGTCTGCATCTGCATCTTGAAGTCGCCGTGAAGAACGTAGTAAAGATTCTCGTTGTTCATTTAGTTCCGTTAAAACCTTTAATTAAAAATGTGGTAGAAGCTAGCTCGAATCATTAGATATTTTAGATTTTATACATACTTCTGTACCTATCTGCTCGGTCTCTATGGCTACCTGGTTTGATCGCTGTATGCTTGCCGAACTACGCTCAAGAATATCATGAGTATTTGCTACTAATTGAGACTGTGCAGCATTTTCTCGTTCAGCAGAATTTTGCCAATTATATCCTCTTGACATCGCAATCGATTTTTATTAGATTTTCTAATAAATAAACACTAATTGGACGAACAAAGGCAAATAAAAATAATAAACAGCTGATCCAAATTAGATGATTTTGTGTTCACAATAGCCTGTTTTTTAATGTTACCAGATTAATAATATGGTTTAACAGGTAACGGCGCGTTTACATTGGACAATGCTGACAAGCAATAAAGATATACGTATTAGTTGTCAAAATTAGGTGCGTTCGTTAAAATCTCCAGTAAAAAACATCCAACTGTTAAATTCCGGCGAAATGTCATCTGTTCTCTCACAAGAGAAAAATATCCAAAATAGTACGCGAACAGAAAATTTGGAGAAACTTGCAAGTTAGTCGAACAGCTGATATAATAAAAGTGAATAATTTAAAACGTACGAAAAGTGAGCACAAAGTGTTATACTGACACAGTTTATTGATTAAACAAATAACTACTTATTTCCTACAAGTTTAATTAGTCGCATTTTGTAATTCTTTTACTTCCAAACCATCAAATTCTATTTTGTTATTTCCGTAAACGCCAACCAGCTGTTTTCCTGTTGGCAAATTGCTGTTGGCAAAAATTTTACCAGCAGAAACCAGCAGCTTCCTCTCAAAATGAAATGTCACTTTGCTCGCTCAATTTCCCCTACTTTGCAAGTTTTTTGCGTACGCGAAGAAAAATTCTTGTTAGTTTTGGTTAAACATGAAAAATTAACAGCTACGCGAACGCAACTATAGTTTCAATGAAAAAGTGTGCATGAATTAGTGAGAAAGTGTGCATTTATTGCAATTGTCATGACAGTATTGTCCGGTGTAAACCCTAGGTAAAGGTGTTTTCTGTTTATCAGGAATATTGTACGTATGCAAAATAGTTTTTGCAGGAAATTTTTTTCTTGAACCACTTAAAATGTTTCGAATTTAATACCTCCGTCTTCCTCCCATTTACAAAATGCAACCGTGCATTTGCGTAAACCCTGCCACGGCAGCACTGTCCAACTCAACAAAAAGCCGTGTCAAGTAAACAAAAATAATTTTGACACATTTGCATCTTTTATTAGGATAATTAATTAGAATACTGTTGGCCTCTGGAATAGCAGAGGCAAACAAATACCTACCGTAATCAAAAACCAGCTTGCAAAAAACATCACAATGCGAAAGACTTGGGTCAAACGAGAAAACATCTACTATAAACCATTCTATAAGCAAAAGACGAAGATGCTGTTATTGGGAGTATTTCTATTAGGTATAGTGTTTATTATTTATCAGGCTTTTTCAATAAATCAGCTACCAAGTGCAAGTACACCTTGGAGTTTGGAGGGTACAATGAACGGAATTCGTCAGAAACATAGAGAAATGATACAATCGCTCGGCCGTAAACAGACTGATGGATACGATGATGGAGGTGGCGGGCAAGGCACTAATACAGCGGATGATTCCATTAAAATTATACGGTAAGTTAGATATAAAAATATTGGCTGCAATTTAGTTTGGCATCCCCGGAGTTCGGCATTAAGAAGGGTATGGAACGATAGAGGGAGTTATCCTGATTGTAAATATATATACTTTTAGCCGCAGCAGACTTATAGTTTTTAAGTTATTTGTTGTTAAAGTTAGTAAATTGAACTAACCTCTCGACGCTATTTCACACAATAAACACTTTATTTATGTACACACTTCGGCAAAATAGTTGCATTAAAAGCCCGCACAATGAAATGTAAACATATTTTTTAAATTTATAATGTATTTTTACTAAATTAAGTAAGTTTTAACAATTATCACGCACTTATATATGTATACGCACATTGTGAATACAGAACTGTTGATTCAACCATGGTTTCACACTGACATTAGAAGGGTGCTGCCACATCTAACAAAATAACACCACACATCTAATAAATAAATATGTTTTTTTAAACCATATTTTAAAAAGTGAAAATTTTTAATAAAAAATCGCGCGATTTTTTATTAAAAATTTTCGCCTGCGGCGCTTTTTCCATAAAATCAATACTTCGATAAATAATGAAAATTTTTAATAAAAAATCGCGCGATTTTTTATTAAAAATTTTCGCCTGCGGCGCTTTTTTCATAAAAATCAATACTTCGATAAATAATGAAAATTTAAAAAAAAAAATCGCGCGATTTTTTATTAAAAATTTTCGCCTGTGGCGCTTTTTCCATAAAAATCAATACTTCGATAAGTAATGAAAATTTTTTATAAAAAATCGCGCGATTTTTTATTAAAAATTTTCGCCTGCGGCGCTTTTTCCATAAAAATCAATACTTCGATAAATAATGAAAATTTTTTATAAAAAATCGCGCGATTTTTTATTAAAAATTTTCGCCTGTGGCGCTTTTTCCATAAAAATCAATACTTCGATAAGTAATGAAAATTTTTTATAAAAAATCGCGCGATTTTTTATTAAAAATTTTCGCCTGCGGCGCTTTTTTCCATAAAAAATCAATACTTCGATAAATAATGAAAATTTTTTATAAAAAATTTTTTAAATATTGGGGGTGTTTAACCCCATACCCTCCTTTACTACTAATTCAACGCTGAACAGGAAAACGGGTACGATAAAAACCATTACCTTTTATTGTTATTTTGTTAGATATGGCAGCACCCTTCTAATGTCAGTGTGAAACTATGGTTGAATAAACAGTTCTGTATTCACAATGTGCGTATACATATATAAGTGCGTGATAATTGTTAAAACTTACTTAATTTAGTAAAAATACATCATAAATTTAAAAAATATGTTTACATTTCATTGTGCTGGCTTTTAATGCAACTATTTTGCCGAAGTGTGTTCATAAATAAAGTGTTTGTTGTGTGAAATAGCGCCGAGAGGTTAGTTCAATTTACTAACTTTAACAACAAATAACTTAAAAACTATAAGTCTGCTGCGGCTAAAAGTATATATATTTGGAATCAGGAGAACGCCCCCTACCCCCCTATAGCCACCTTTTTTTTGTACGCGGGGGATGCCAAACTAAAATTTTCCCAAAATATTTAAGCCACATTTATAAATTCGTTGCTTTAGTGGAATACGACTATTTGATTACGATTCGTACAAGCCAAACTTCGATGGAAAGTTTCGATGTTTGGATGGTAGAGCTGAAGTACCGTTCGACCATGTTAATGACGACTACTGCGATTGCATTTATGACGGAAGTGATGAACCCAGTACGAATGCATGCCAAAATGGTCGCTTTTACTGTAAATACCAAAAACGACACATCACTGGGCGCGGCGTGGACTTATTCGTACCCAGCAGCCGTGTAAATGACGGAATCTGTGACTGCTGTGATGGTAGTGACGAGTGGCTCACCATTAGCTGTATAAATAGATGTACATAATAAGGAACTCGTATTAAGCTTTAAGCTCTTGGAGTTAGGTTATTTAGGTATTCGATAAAGAGCGTAAAAACTCGAAATAAAATATAGGTCTATAGATTTTCCATATGCGAAGCAAGTTAGAATAATTAGTATAGAATTATAAAAAATACAGATCTGTACAAAAATACATACTAGATTTTAATTGCAATTCTTTAGAGATGCTGTGCATCGTAAAATCGCTATGTTTGCATTTGATAATTAGATTGCATACCAAAATTGGGCAATGATTTGATATTGCATCCAAAATCTCACATTATTTGGAGCTAAACTTCGATAAAATAACTAAATTTTCTTTTTCTAACAAATTGCTTAATAATTAAAAACTGCTTTATGCAACCAAAATTTCAGCGATGATACCAGATGAATTTTATTTTTTATGCATGCTTAGATGTTTCGCCCTTTGAAAAAAGTTCTATGTAATAAATATCTCGATTTTTTTTTTTGAGGCCAAACTATTTGTTCATTCCTTGTGCTTACCTCGTTCTAGCTTATTCATGTTGATTCTTCCTTTCCATGATGGTCTTGATGCTTTTACTACTGATGTGATCGTTATTGTGGAGCTAAAAATGATGGCTAAAAAGTTTTTACAATGGAATTTCGCTGTATTATATTTACCTTAACATGAAAAGAAACAAAAATACTATACTATGAATAAGTTATATTTGAAATATTCTGCAAGTTTACTCAAACACAAGATAATCGTAACCTATTTTTTGTTTTTTTTTTTTTAGCTTACAACTTTAGCCTATTTTTAATTTAATAAATTCTTCACCTTTGTTGCTTGCACTTGCTTTGAATTTCTAAAATACTCCTATGAAAATGTTCACATTTTTATCATTTCCAACGGAGCTGTGCATATCGAAAAGAGCTTGCGGTTATTCCGAAATACGGTTTGAATAACTTACTCAACATCCCTCAATTTGCTTTTGTAAATGAAGCAATCAATGTACGAGTAGTTGATCTGTGTTCAACTCTTTTTGAAATTCACAATTCGGCTGATATAGAAATCTCATTCAGTATATGCTCAGCACTTAATATAACTCTTTCCCATATACATATTGTATTAATATTAGTATTTATAGAACTTTATCTTTGTCAATAAGCAATAGTTACTGGGTACATATTTTTACATACATATGTATGTGCATGTTTATGTATGCATTCGATTTGAAATTTCGGATTTTATTTGTTTTTGCAATACATTTTCGAATAAAATTAGGACATGCTTTCAATTTTGTCAACATCCTTGGCTGAAATTCAAAGGTGCCAAATACATTCACAAATTATTACATAACATACATACATAAATAACGTTTTATAAAAATGCGTTTTAAATGTTGCAAATTTTGAACTGCAAATTCGAGAAAGGTACATTTATCATTAGCTTTTAATACATACATACATAATTATTCTAGATGCAGTGTGTGTAATTTAAACTGATTTGATTTTGTAAGTGATATCCTATCATTACAGATCCACAATTAAAATTTTAAATACATATGTTTGTATATATGTAGCCGATTAAGATTTCTTACTCTTATGTATGTATATGTTTGGGTGTATTTCAATGACATTTAGTTGAAGAAATACTTTTATATTTTATTTACTATTATAGCATCATTTCACGTACACTGTTGTGTGCGTATTAAACTTTGTTTGATTGGCTTAGTTGTATTTATGTAGTTTTTTGAGTTCTTTGTTCTGGCGTAGAATATACGTTCATTAGTTTTTTAAATTACATTTATGAACAAGAGCAAGTACATACATAATTGGATTTCAAGCAGATCATAAGTTTTAAGATTTACATGTATGAATGCAGAGTGCTGCATTAAATTATTGACAGAGGGAATTTTTCACAATATTTGTATGCAAAATTTTGTACTTTAAATTTTCTCCCTCTAATTTTTTGTAATATGTAGTTCATACTACAACGAAAAACCCAAAAATAAATAAAATCTCTAAACTTTCTGCAAAACTTAGGAAAATTTAATAAATTTGCAGCTTTTTAATCACATTTTTACAAAAAATCTATGCATGTAGTATTATAGCCCATTAAATTATAGTATAACAAAGTGCAAGTTTGAAGTTGGTAAAAAATCGCGTTAATTTTTGGCATTTTTGCACGCAGTTTCTTCCATACAAAGTACAGTGGTCGAAAAAATTATAGCCGCATCATATTTTGACAAGTTTTAATATATAATTTTTTTTTTTGTTATTCAACTTTTGTTTGTTTTTGTACAAAAATATCGTTAATTTTGTAACCAGACCCGTGTAAATACAAGTTTCAAAATTTGTACAATATTTGAAAAAATTTCCTATATAGATTCTGACTATGCAGGTTTCTAGCCCATTGAATTCTAGTAGAATAAAGTACAAGTTTCAAATGCCTAAAAATTACGGCTGATTTTTTAGAATTTGTTTTGTGCCATTTGCTTCCATATAACGAATATATACAATTTTTTTTATATGGAAGAAAACTGTAACATGCTCGACATTTTTTTCTTTTTGTTAGATTAAAATGATGCAAACTTGTTGCTAATTTATTAAATTTTCTTGAGTTTTGAACAAAGTTTAGAGATTTTTTTTGTAGTATGAACTATATTTTTTACAAAAAAATAGAGGAATAAATTAAGTAAAAAATATTGCACATATGTACATTTCATATACATATGTACATGTACATTTCTGTGATATTTCCAGATATTTAATTCCCACAAAAGTTTTTGGGGTACGTTTAGTTTTGTTACAACAACAACATCCCTATGATATTAATTTTTTATCGTTTGAATGTTCATATGTATGTATGCTTATGGGGCGCGTGAAGCTGAAAGAAATACGAGTATATACATAATTGTGGTAAATTCCTAAATGTAAAAATACAAAACCTCAGCACATTTTATATCTAAACTGCAATAGAAGAAAAGGTCTAATTAACGCAACCTAGTTGACAACTACCATCTAACCGTGGTTGGGCACATTTGGCATTACGATCTACAGAGGATTAGAAATAATTCATACAGATGCTTTATACATATTCATAAGTTGCGTCTCTGTACTCTCTAGCAAAAAGATATCCAGTAGCTTACCAGTAATAAAATTTCTGAGAGTAAACTACCATTTTCTTTGTGAGTGAGGAAGTTGCAAGTTTTATTAACAGTTAATTAATTCGTTATTTTTCGAAGCAATTTCCTAAAAAGTAGTACTTCTTAACTTATTAAGACTGTTCGCTATGCAAAAAACTTGTACAAGTTGGTACCAATTATCACCCAATTGTGTTCCTTTGGCCAAAAACCCAGTAAAACTTGCAAGGATAGAACAATTTTGACATTTCATTTGGAGGGGAAGTTGCAAATTCGTGCTGGGAAAATTTTTTCCAGCAAGAAGTTGCAAGCAGGATTGCGACACACGGTTGCATTTTTGTCAACATTAATGTGAATTAACATGTTCGTTAAATTTAAAAATGAACAATCAATTTGTTGCGATTTACTAATGAAAGAAGTATGTATGTAAATATTTGTTTGTTAAATTAATTTCATTAATTCCAAAGATTTGAAAGGTACTCGGCTGAAAAAGCGTAATCGGAAGGCAGTCGACACCACTGTCGCTATAGGAAGTCTGGCAGTGACTTCCACAAAGAAATTGAAGCACATTTTGAAGAGTCAGAATAAGACGAAATATACGTATAAGCCCTGTTTTGTTTTCCACCTGGAATAATTAAAAAAAAATGTATTATGCTCGAAATGCAACCGTTGACACCAGCTGCCAGTGAAGCTTGCAAATGTTTGCTAATTCCTGTTCGCGCAAAATTTAGTAAGTTTCTCTCTTTGTGAGAGCTAGGTACCTTATTCTCTGAATTTTGTTACTGGCTAATTCTTACTGGCATTTGCTTAGCGAACAGAACTATTCAGAGCAATTCTAAATACTCCCGGGGAGTTTATTCTCCGGGAATTCGTTTCTCCCGAAAAAGAAATCCTTCAATAATCAGTTACCAGGGAGTGGAATTTTCCCCGAAAACTTGGGAGGGGGAAATTCGAGCTTCGAAGAAGCTGCTTGACACTTTTTTGAGAGCTCAACTCCGCCATTTAATATAGAAAGTCCTCAGGGAATTTTCATTCGTGATAGGAGGAAAGGGAAAAGAGAGAAAACTCCCACGGAATTTCTGTTCAGAATCGGCCTGATTATATTTCTGCCAATTTATTAGTTTGAATTGCACCCAGCATCATGCCATCAGATGTTTTTCTTACCGGTCAATAGTTAATAGTAAAAATTTATCCAGTAAAGCTTGTCAGTTCAGCTGTAATTTTCGCTCTCTCTATTTCCGCACTTTTGATAGTTTCTTGCAAGTTTTGGCGACCGACACAACAAACCCATTTTCATGCCCGAAACTAAACGTCAAATCGTATGAAATTATAAATTTAAAATCTCTGAGCGGCAGTGAACCCATTACAATTGCTGGTTCAGTTGATTTTTTTCATTTATTAAAGAAAAAAAGGTACATATCTGTGGTCATAAGCAATAATAGTCTAAGTCGAATAACCTGAAAGATTTGGATTGTAATGGCAACCTTATGGGGAAAGCAAAATATTTTCATCTACAACTTTTTAAATAGCCTAGGTAACGATATGGGAGTTTCACATACACATGGGAGTTTCACATACACATGGGAGTTTCACATACACATGGAATAGTAGTAAGATAGCATATATAACTCAATTCTTTCTTAAGTCCTCTGCAATAACGACACAATTCAAAATTTAAGAAATAAAAACTCTTACTACTGTTAAGTGGCTCATGTCTCTAATCCTTTTGTAATTCATGTCTAATCTTCACTACCTACTGTAGTAATCCTTACCACTTACTTTAGTAAATATGTATGTATTAAAAAAAAAAACTCGGAATAGGCAGTTTCGGGCACCCACGGGCCAACCAGAAGAACATACTCTTGTAAGTTTTCTTATTATTAATTTAAAAGGCAAAACAAAAACAAATTGGGAAAATTTGTTTTTGTTTTCAATTTATCACAATTCACTCCCGAGTGAATTTTAATCAAACTCGCTTTGAATTCAAATTGGCAGGGGTTGAAATTCACTCGGAAGTGAATTGCAGAACCCGTACGTATATATTTTGTGATAAGGACGAATAACTCAAGACCAAAATACACTATGCAAGCGGCATGTCAAACCCACTTTTTTCATATCGCCATACACCATACACGCATGACTCGTTCAAGTGGAGAATTTTAGTTTCCTTCCGGTTCACAATGTAAACATATTTGGTTCTCTTCCACTTTTCTCTCTTACGTCCTCACTTTTTTGGAAATTTCGTGGCGTATTATGCAATTCTACCATACACAACCCAAGCGGTTTGATCGAACTTCAATATGGCGGCCAGAAGATCCCAAAAATTTATTTTTGTTAAAATTTCTCTTATTTGATGATTTGAAAGATATTCGGCTGAAAGTTATATTCCTAATCAGAGTGCAGTCGCAACCAGACGATATAGGAAAGCTATTGGTAAGCAGTGCACGCTTCCACTCCGCAAGGCCTGGGTTCAAGCCCCGGCCAAAGCAACATCGCAAAAAAATATAAAAAAGTGTTCGCCTCTCGGCAGGCAATGCCAAACCTCAGAGTGTATTTCTGCCATGAAAAACTGCTTCTCATAAAAATACAATCGCCGTTCGGGGTCGGCGTAAAACTGTATGCCCAAGTCCCATTTGTGTGACATCAAGGCGCACGCCACAAATCAAAGGAGCAGTTCGGCCAAACACTAACATACATATGTGTATGTGCCAATCTAATAATAGGTGCATTCAATAACTTTTGCAGTAAGTACTTGCAGCGAGAGCGTAAAATTGAGAGCAAGAGAAAATCTTCAGGAAAAGTTTTTGAACGCAAAAAAAAAAACTTACAACTTAAGCGATTTTGACACTTTCTGACGGTTAAGTTTTGGCACGCAATTTTCTTTTTAATTAGCAATAGTTCCCATCGTCCTAAGAATAAAAAAATGTACAATAGATTTACAATTTTCATCCATATTTTCATTTCACTAATTATGTTTCATCAAATCATCCTCTTAAACAGTTTGTTTACATTTGAATTTGAAACATAACCTTACTTTTTGACTCCTGCAAATTCCTGCTAGTAAAATTTTTACTTGCAACAATTTGCAGCTCTCTCTGGATGTTACGCTCTCGAATTCGCTCTCTCTTACAAATATTTTGGCTTATTGAATGCATTTCCAGTAAAAACTTGCAAGTACTAGTTACAATTCGTAACTCTTTCGTATTCGGATTTTTCTACGAATCGTAGAAATAGTATGCTGCAATCCGAATCGTATTTTCGAACTTTCGAAATTCGTAACAATGGCATGCCTAAAAACGAACGAATAAGCTTTTTTGCGTAATTTTGTACGAAAACAATTCTGTGTCGGAGGCGAAATAAAAGATGTAAATCGATGTGTGTTTACAAGAAGTGGTGGTGTTCATTTAAACAGATAAATTTGCCTTTCGCATATAGGTATATTTTTATCCACTGCTTTATATAAACGAGCAAAACAAAATCTTTGTTGCCCCTTATCGAGAAATTTGGGTCCGGTCTAGTTATTTGTACAATGATTTTCGGTTGTTGTGTCCAAACGCTAAACCCGAATCCAAAAACTTTAACATACACGCGTAATCAAAGGATTCACAATTTGTTTAAGATAAATGTTTCAAACTCGGTTTGCACTATGCACTTTTTTGAAAATTTCGACGTGGGTTCTGCGCAAAAATACTGTGGACGGCGTAACCGGAGTGATATGCACAGGAAATATTGTATACCTTTGACATGCGGAAGCCCCTCTTCCCCCAACACGCGGTCGAAGGCAGAAGCAAGCGCAACAGGTGGTTGACCTAACAAAGTGCATGTTTTCAATGGCTTGGAAGAAGCTGTTATTGTATTAACTGAATTGAGAACCAGAGCTTCAGGCATAGGAGGAGTTCTGGCTTGTTGTTCAACAATTCAACCAGAAGCTGACATAGATGCGCCCATGGTTACTATGCCCGACAGCTCCGCATACCTTTGTGAATCCATTGCCATAGCGCCCTCTTACTCTGCTGCTTTAATTGCAAATGCATCAGAACCCATAATGAGTGTTTTTTTATTTCTTTTCCACTTTGTTTTCCTTCATTCTTCTTCGAAAAACTACTGATAGCTGGCAATGCTGCACATGTTTCCGCAAGGGTTGCAGCATGTGGGTTTATCGTTTTTCGTAGCGTAGCTACGAATTACGACTTACGAAAATTCGGGTTCTAGAATAAGGGGGGTACGATTCGAGCCTAGATTGTTACTACGGCAATGAAATGTATGAAGAAGTAGAATTCTGTATACGCATGAGTCCCATTTTTTCCCACCCGAAAGAATTCATTACATGGAAACATGCAAATTCATGCAAATTTACATTCGTGTAGAAATTGACAAGTTTCTCTATTTTAGAGAGAATGTTTTCTTACTCTCTGATAATTGAGCAATGGATAATTTCTGCTGGAGTTTTTGACACACGGGACGGGTATTTTAATCACTATTTCACATAAAAAATTCTACGACCTTGAGAAGTGCGAGACTTAGGACGTCATGTGAATCAACTGTACTGAGATTTGAGCAGTTTTTTTTTGCTAAAATACATCGAAATAGTTTTCTTTGCAAAATATGAACATAATGAAACTCCTATTATTATTGTTTATTGTTCTGAAATTCAGAATCTATAATAATGATGATTAATTAAAAACTTTGATTTTGTGGGAAAACTCAGATTTATGGATTCATACATTTGGTACACAAAAAAAAAATTGAGGAACAGATATTCTCGCCGTTTTTTGGAGTTCAATTATCTTATAGACTGAACATATTCTCCTTACCAAGCTTATTATTTGTATGATAAAATCTGCAAAAACTTAAATTTTGTATTAATCATTTGTATTACTAAACGCGCGATGTGTGCAAGTGTTTGTCTAGTACTACTAAAAAAAATTCAGAAAATTCTAAACAATTAGAAAAAAGGAAAAAATATTCAACAGACATATAGAATTGAGGAGTTCCATAACAAATCCCAATAATTTAACTTTTTATTATTTTCGGGTTTTTGATGAAATCTAATTCTGTATATTAAAACCTATGTATGTTATCGTCTTAATAAGTTGTAAGAATAAACACCTTATCACATTATTATCGATTTTTCAGTTTTCAGACTAAAACGTATATTTTTCAAGTTTAATCCACATAGAGGATAACATACAAATGGCAATTGTAGATTTTTAAAAGTTAAGTGTTTTTCTTAGTTATTTGCCTTCAAGTGTATCTTCAAAGTTGATTTACTTAATCGTGATTAACTCAATCATTTATTAAAACTTACACTAAAAATCATACCTCAGTTACACGCGAAAACTAAAAGCAATACTTGCAAAACCTGATATCACTTTGAAACTATTTACATAATCGGAGCGATTCCACGAAACCTCTCATGCTTCCACATAACTATTAAAAAATTTAAAATTTATTATTATTTAATTTAAAATACCACAGCATTTTATTTGAAAGTGATAACATTCTCTCAATGATCTAAGAAACTTTTCAGTTGGAAATATTGCGCTTCGTTGTGGAACTTCTCAATTTATAGATACTAGTTATTCCTATATGTACATACAAGCAATAAAAAATAATACTTCGGTCTGCGACAAATATTAAAAAAACGTAGCTCTATAAACAAATGTGTCCCAGTGGCGTGGGACTGAAATGGATGTCGATAACGAACAACATTGTGATATTTTTATATATGTAAATATATACATACATATATATATATATTTTTTCATTTATTATCGGACCATCGTGGCCGTCATAGCCGAGTGGTAACTGGTGCCTACTACCACACCTGTTCGATTCTTAGTCTGAGCAATATCCATAAAAAAATAGTTTTTTTCTAACATCGGTCGTCGCTCAACAGGCAATGGCAACCCCAGACAGGACTTGTGCTATGAAAAAGCGAAAAAGTGTTGGCGTAAAACTGCAGGTTTCTTTATTTGTGTGACAAGATAAACACACCTCAAATTGGATGAGATGCTCGGCCAAACACGTGTGAGCACCAAAGCTGTGCCTTAAAAGAACTGTGTGCATACTTTGGATTTAATTATTACTTTTTCTTAATTTTGGCAAATTAGAAATTTGCAGTAAGTTCTGGTTGTTGACCACGGGAGCAATAGCAGATTGAATCAGTTTGATTTGATGAAATCTAAACCAAAAGACTCTGGAATATTGTAAGTATTCACAGCTCTCTGGCTATTAAGGTAACTGGTTATTGATACGTATTCTACAGTGCATTTTATTTTTGCAAACTGATTACAAATAACTGCAGAGCCTCAGTAACCCTGAAGCTGTGAACCCCTATGCACGTCGTTTCTTTTTTTGAATAAAAAAACCAAAATTCTTCGTAATAAATCATTTTATATGAAAGCAAATTATGTTAAAGAAAAATAAATAAAAGCAAATTAAAACAAGCATATAAAAGCCTAAGAGGATTGCACTGGTTAATGGTGATTTATGCGTATAAAATATTTTCGACTATGAGTTGTTTTTTTTACAAAATTATCAAATATATGGATTTGAACATGAAGTATATATAATTAGCAGCTAAAAATATGTAGAATTATTGCTTTAATTTACCGCAAAAAAATTGTCTTTGATTGCAATAACTAAATTAGAATTATCCTGATATGAAAAAAACTCATATTTAGTTCAATATCCTCTTTCTCCACGGCAAGGTATTAAGTAACCGATTACTTAATTCAGTGGAAAAAAGAATTGTACAGCATTTAAATGGTTAATACATTTTTCCATTTAAATTAAACTTAACATTTTAAATAAGTAATGTTAAACTTTAATTTTTATATATGTATGTATAAAATGGGTTTTGTTTAAGAGTATGCAAATTTATAAAATTTCAATTGAAATTTATATGTATTATGAATTGCATACCTAAATACCTAATTGCATAACTTATGCTAACACATTTTATTTAAATAAAAAGTTTAAACCATAATAATATTCAACGATTTAAACAGATTTATCTTGATGGATGCGTGTATAAATATGTATATATAAATGTGTGGACATTTAATGGACATCGGAAGCTATATACACATAACCACAATTATGTAGGCTTTTATGCCACTCTCAAAAATTCAACGACAAGGCTGATGTTGTAGAAGCCTACCTTTTGCTCGAGAATAATGGTGAATTTTAGTTGGATGACCTCTGTGATGATGATGATGGCGCTGATTCGGCCTTGCTCGGCCCCTCTGCAGGTTTGGTGGTTTTTGACGTTGTTGGCGGTTATGCACTGCTGTTGCGTCTGCACTTGTAACTGTAGCTGGTGTAGTTGTGTTTTTTGGAAAATGTCGCGTATAATTATTTACAATTGATGTTGTTGCTATATCGAGCAAAGTAAAGTTAGACGGAGCAGCAACTACAGATTGATGCTGTTGCTGTTGTAATAACTGTTGTTGTGGCTGGGGTTGTACGCGCATAACTTTTTTCGATGTCGTTGCCAAAGCGCTGCCTGTCGGTTCCGCTATAGCCATCCTACGCAAGTGTAAGCGGCCAACATTGCGACGCCGGTGATGTCACTTCGGTCCGCTAGCACTTGTCTTGGCCAACTCTGAACGAATTGAGTTAAGCTGTGCTTGTTGCAACTGCTGTTGTTGTTGTAATTGCTCATTAATCTGAATATTGCTAGAAGATTGCTGCAGAGGTTGTAAAGCCGATGTTTGTTGCGGTTGTGTTGTTTGCTGTTGTTGCATTTGCAATTGATGTTGTTGGTTTAATGCATGAATGTGTTGACAAAAAGCTTGTAAAACTTCAAAGTGTGTCATTAAATTCGCCGTTTGACTGTCATAGTGCAGGTGCCGCGTTATCGGGGCGCCCAGACGTCGAAGCATATCCGTAAAGATCTTTTCTTCTTTTCGTATCCACGGCCGGCGATCGTCTTGTACCTGATATGGCGTCAGATGCACATGAATATTCATGCCTTCCGAAACGATGAAAAAATTACATTAAGAAAAATTTGCAATTATCTTTGTCCTGTTGGACCTACCCATTCGTGTAAGAGTTTCTAAAAGGCTTCGAGACGTTATCCATGTATTCTTTTGACCACCATGACCACCATCCAGCCAGTACATGTCTTTGATGCGTGAAAGCAATCGTATCATTGTACTATCATCGGGTGTAAGAGTTTTCAAGTAATGGAATTCGTATATGAACTGAAATAAAATGAAGTCTATATCAACAGAAGTGCTTTGGTCCTGAATAATTTGAGCAGAAGCATGTACTTTATTTATACATATGTATATTTCATAGTTTCAAGAGTACGCCATAAGTTAATATTACAAATATGTATATGTATGTATGTATGAATGTATCGACCGATTTTTGCGTCAACCACGTACCTGCATTAAACACACTTTAAAAACATTCAAGACAATTTGTTTACCTTCCTTCACTGGGACACAATGAATGAATTATATCGTTGGCTTAGTGTGCAAACGTACTTTTTATGAAAGTTGAGATTTTAATGCAGTAAGGTAGCACAACTCAAAATACATCATTACCAAAAAAAAAAAGTTATCGTAATGTCCCTCTTACTTGTTGTTATGCAGTGGTATGCAAATGTGCTAAGTCTGCCCGTGCACACGATAGCTCGAGCAAAAATTGATACATCTAAATGAAATTTTGTTATGTAGGTTGCCCTTTATCCAAGGTAGGTTGGCATTGAAAACGGGCGAAATCGTACTGTAACTACGCCCACTTCCCATATAAAGGTATTTTCCAAAAATTAAAGAACTACAATATTTCAGTAAAGTATGTGAAGTAGAATTTTGTAAAAAAATATTATTATGAAATTTTTGGAAAATGGGCATGATCCCGCCCACTTATGATGAAATCCTGTAACTCAGTAGCCCATTCACCAATCCTTACCAAACTCGGTACGAGCCTTGCTTAGGGTCTAGCCATTATAAAAAAAATTAGATGCACTTTTAAAATTCTTGACGTTTCCAGGCAATTCAATTTTTAAATTTACTCACAATCTCACACACACATTTTCACTTTTAACCTCAAGCAACAACAATTTCTGTGTTCATATGGCATAGTAGCTTATGTCGAAAGGCTGGCTTTAGTATAGTACAGCATTCGCAGCATACGATTGCGAATGAATCACTGGCACCGAGCCGTTGAAGAACTTTTGGCAAATAAACGTGCAAGAAATACATAGTTCCGATACTAGCAAGTAAATATTTTTATTACGTCTCATCAAAAAATTCCTTGTAGTTTGAAGGATAAAAAGATTATACTAAAGCCACTCCTCGACTTAAGCTACTATTCCATATGAACACAGATTTGTATTTTCAATTTTATATGATTTTGAAATGCTGGCAAACTTCAAAAATAATCATGATCGGCAAATTGAGAGAACGGTTCTTTGCTATGTTTTTATCATGGGTCTAGCTAATAGGCGGCATACACCGTGCGTCCGACACGTGAGTCGGTTTGGATGTGCTAGTAAAAATAAAAATGTTACACAGACATGACTCTGGTATGACTCTGAATCACTCAACTGTGTGTAGTCGAAAGGCGAGTCAACACGTACACAGTTGACTCGCGAGTCAGACACACCGTCTATGTTGCCTATAATAGGCAGCATACACAGTGCGTCTGACTCGGGAGTCGAGTTGGATGTATTTGTGAAAATAAATATGCGCTAGTTACACCGACATGCCACCACTTTATCGATTTCTACTAAACTTGGTTCATTTATATCATTGAGTCTAACTCAGCATATTATCGAAAACGTTTGAAATCGAGAAAAACACCCCTGCTTATCTTGAAAATGTAGTGCAGATGATGTTGAAACGACAATATTTGATACCTGAGCCGGGTACTCGCTTTTAATTATTTTCCTTAATAAATGGTACATAAATCTAAATCGTTATTTTTGTAAACAAAAAAAAATAAATAAATAAAAAAATAATAAAAAACAATAAACAAAAAAAAAAAAAAAATATGAAAAACAGGTTGATAGAAAATGTGCTAACTCTACATTAAAAGAACAAAATCATAAAGAGAAAATGTGGTTAGTTCCAGAAGAGCCTATAATTCTGCAACAGCTTTATTTTGAAATTGACCGATTATTGGTACTGAAACAAGACGAACTAAGGAAAAAAACTGCATTTACAAAATAGGAAAATATTACCAACAAAAAAGTAAGAGGGTTTTTTGTCCCTTCTGAAAAAAAAATGGACTTAGCACGTTTGCACACGCGTTACGATACGCCGTTTGTACTATGAGGGCGTCCAAAATTGGACTTTATTTAATTTTTTTAATAGCGATGCTTCGTTAATTTATTATAAACCATTCTATTTGCTTTATTTATGTGGTTAGAGTAAAAATGGGAGTATAGAATGAATAAATTATAATCTCGATTTTTACACCAAACATGACTCACTTGATTGAGGACCACACAGCCTTTGCTGAACCCAATTAAAACAAGTTTCGCTTTATCCAAGTTCAAATTCTCTCGCCACCACAAAGGATTGCTATTTAGACGCGGTTGCTGTTGTTGTGTTATGCATTCATTACTGTTGCTATTAACACCAATGTTATTGAAATGCTGGGTATTATTGGATTGCGTCTGCTGCGTTGTTGGTTGCAAAGGGACCGACTGTGCGCTTTGTGATGTTGTAGTCGCCAGGGACATGTTACTGTTTGTGGCATTATTTACTGTTGATGAAACACCTCCACCACTAGAATTACTGCTACCACCACCACTAACAACACCAGTACCAGTACCGCCGACATTTGGAAATATAACAGCACCGTCGGCATCAACAGTCACATTCTCCTGCACTTGCAATATATCAATATCCATATCTTGGTTATTATCAGTCAACGATGACGAGGAGGCGGACGAGTCAGTAGATGCCGTGGATAGTGTGGAGGATACCAAAGCAGCAGCAGCCGCCACAGCTGCAGCGGCCGCGGCAGCCTGTGCAGCCTGATCCATTATCTCGTTTTCGGGTATAGAGATCAGCCGTTGAGAAAGATTTTGAAGAAGTCTGAAGCGACAAAATAAATGTACATTAAGCAAATTTCCGAATAGTTGGGGCTGCATATGTTTATGTCGTACTCACTTTTCCAAATGTTGCAATGCATGGTTCATAGGAGTGTGATCAGGGACACCAGCGTTATTACCACGTACGAAATTGTCGAAGCAACTGAATGTTTTAAATTCCATTCTGTAAATAATCAAGCAAATTGTAGCCAATAAATTTTAATAACAAAGTATGTATCAATTTTAAACGCCACCCTAAAAGCTGTTAATTTTTCAATGCACATAGCTTTAAAATTTATTTTAAATAGAATATGTATGTACAGCTGCGGTAAAAATAATATCAGCAAAATTCAAAATGATGCTGCTGGCAACTTATCTTTATTTTATTTATTGTTAATTTTCATTTATAATATGGGTCGATCTATATCAGATACCGGATAAATAAAAGTTTCAAAGCTTGCATCACAGTATAGCTTGCACTATGATCACAAAAACTAATTAAACTTATAAAAAAAAAAATTAAAATTCACACGAGAAAAAAAGAAAAACTGTTGCGTATAATGCTGACTGCACACGAGGCAAGCGTTGAAGCAACCAGGGCATGATATTTCGATCGTTGTTCGAAACTAAAAATAGTTTGATATTTTGTGTTGGTTGTCGCAAGGCATATATACATATATATATATATATAGATTGGCGCTTACACATATGTTAGTGTTTGGCCGAGCTTCTCCTCCGATTTGTGGCGTGCGCCTTGATGTTGTCACACAAAGCGGAGGGACCTACAGTTTTACGCCGACTCCGAACGGCGATTGTATTTTTATGAAAAGCTGTTTTTCATGGTAGAAATACACTCGGACGTTTGCCATTGCCTGCCGAGGGACGACCGCTGTTAAGAAAAAACCTTGTTTCTATATTTTTTTTTGCGATGTTGCTTTGACCAGGGCTTGAACCCAGGTGCTGCGGAGTGGAAGCGCGCACTGCTTACCACTACACCACAGCGGCCGCAAGGTATATGTATTTAATAAGGTAGAAGTGATAACTAGCTCGAAATCTCTTGTACCTAGTTATAATGTCAAAAAACTGTTAACAAACAAATTAACCCTTTGAGGTGCGAGTGCTATGTTTGCTACAAATTAGTATCAATTGAAACGCATCAGCATAAATACATACATATGTACGTATACTAATTTTAGCAATTCCACTTAAATATACTTTCAAAGAATTTTAATTGCATTCGCATTTTATATGCACATATACATAAGGACAGAAACGAATACCAGTTTTTCTACGCAAAAAACCGATTTTAAAAGTAAAACTGTTTCATAGGCATGTCATTTATATGAGCAGTTAAGGTGCCAAAATACCGAATACGGGACATTAAAAGAAATACAGGACGTTTGGCGTCTGGCGTATGAAATAAATAAATTACTAGGGCGAAATAAGCTAATAGTAAAAAGAGATATTTTTAAAGCAAGCTTCAAAATATGAACGAAATCGGACCATAAGTACTGGTTTGCTAAATACATCGACTCGTGCGCCATCTATCGGCAAAATTATTATTTTTATTTATCCTTTTCATTTAGTTAATATACGTGCCAAATATGAACCCAATTGGACTATATATATAAAGGTTTTTCTAATATCTCGACTTCTGCGCCACCTATCGGATTAACTCATCATTCGTATTGCATTGTCATAGGGTTCTGAGATGTATTGCTGTGAATGAATGTGGTTGTTGTTCACATTTTATTGTGAAGCAGCATAAATTAGCTACACTAACTATCGGATTACATTCGACGACACCGATTCGTAATAGAGAATAATAGAATGCAAGTGTTTATAAGGACGGATGGTCACCGTAACCATACATAGCACACACTACAGAGGGGTTGCCGCAATGGTTATATCAACGGTTGCCCCATGTGTATTGAATAAGAAAAACAAGTTGCCTCAACGCGCTGCTTCAACGGTATGTAGTAATTATAAAAGCGAAATACACTATAGAATGATTTTTTTTTAAGAAACGGTTAATCACCTTACAGGCCGGATGACAATGATGTGTGCGCGCGGAAAAGCTTCGCGTAGTAATATAGCGGAGTTCTCCAAATTGTATTTCATGTAGCCGCGACTGTCTCTGTTCGTTTCCATGCTCTCCGGAAAGTCCTAGATGGAGAAAGAAGAGGATACATTAAGCAAACAAAAAAAAATCGTAATGGTCTATGCATACTAGGAATGTTATTCCCGAGATCCGGGGATACCGGGATCCCGGCCTTTTTAAGGTCCCAAAAAGCCCGGGATTTTCGGGATTTGTAATTTGCACTGATCGCTATTGACTATATTTCATTTTTTAATTAAAAATTAATATTTTTTTATAAATATCTCGTCTACGTCAGTAATTCAAAAATGATTTAAAAAATTTAGAGAAATGTGCTTAGAGAAGAAGTATGGGCATCAAATTAAAGAGGAAAGAAAGAAAGTATTGAAAATGTTCTTTTAAAATTTTATCCTTGAAATTTCGCAATATTTTTTTTTGAAAAAATTATATGTTCAGGACTTATATATGTAAACTCGATAACATCCTCGAATTTCGTCCTTCTAACTTTATCAGCTTAAAAAATTACCTATTCGTCCTTGTGAAGTTCTAAAAAATTTCCTCTTGCATTTGGTACCCATATTTTTTTTTACATTGCATTGATTTTTTTTTTTTAATAATTTTTGAAATCAATCAACACTTTGAATTTACAAAGTCCTTTAAAATAAATCCTGATGTCAGAGAGAAAAAATAAAAACACTACTAATAAAAAAGTAGTTTTCAACCCCAATTCGTCACTACACACGAATAAAGGCGCGTTAGTGTTTTGACGGCGAAAAAAGGCGCGTAAAAAATTTTGCGAAAAAAGATGCTTATGAAAAACTTCGGCGAAGTATGTTAAGAGTCTTTGACGCAAAAGTTTTTTTATGCGTCTTTTTCGCCGTCAACTTTAAAGCTCGCGTCTTTATTCGGGTCTAGTGACGATTTATTTAATATTTATTTTATGGTAGGAGAGCTGCTTAAACAATATAGAAGCAATTTTTTCGATTTAAGTTGTTGAAAAGTAATGAATATCTATTGAATATTGGATTGTGATAACGACATCCATAGTGTATTTTTTACGAAAATTTCAAATACATACATAATTATAGTACACTGCCTAACATACCTGTACGTCACCGCCAAAGTAAACAACGGCCGTGGAATCCTCCGCATTCTCGCTGCCCGTCGGCCGTATCGGTGGACAATAGACAATATCATTTGCCCGATTTTGGAAACCAGTGACGGCAAATATACGAAATGGGCCAGCTGACGTGCTCGGTGTGCATAGACGATCCGTACTGCCGCCTAGCATTACCCCGAAGTTTGTGACCCTTTTTTGTAGTTTCAAAAAATGTTCAATGATGGCCTGTAAGAAACTGTGATTTAGAAATACATACTACGTACTTAGATTGAGAGATTTAATTTGTAGAAATTTCGTCGTTGCCGCACATTCAATTGACTTGCTTTGCGTGGCTTTGAGAGATAGGTAATGAGTAAAGTATTAAGACGCTTTGGGCTCAGATCTTTAACCGTCAAGCATAACAAACCATGAGACTTTATTCAAAAAGGCTCCTGTTTAGCTAGTGTGAAGTAATTTTAGCAATTTAAAAATTTTACATTGCAGATCTACAGTGTTCCACTAAAGCCCTTCTGGAAGTCCTTCTATAGGTAGCGAAAGCAAAGGGCCTTCAATTTGTGCCACTCCATACAAAAAAGCAAGGAGCAACGAATACAGAGTGGAAGGCCTATTAAGTCTAAAGAAGGCCTTTTGGAAGGCCTTTTAACTCCTGAAATTATCTACTGGGCTATTCCATTTGTTGTTGCAAATCGTTCATCTATAACAAACTGTCGAAATTGTGTGACTTTGGATCTGTTCCTCAGGTACTTGGAACACCTCCTGAATCTCCCAATCTTAATCCAATCAAGCATTTACGAGACGAAAGAAGCATCCCAGAAGGTAATTTAGGTAGGCCTTCTTAAGTGAAGCCATTCTAAGAGGGTAACCCAAGAAGGGCTGAAAAAAGTACTTCCTTGTATGCGTTTTAGAAGGGCTTATCTATTTACAATTTACACGAATACATAAATTTATATTATTCTGCATTACAAATGAATTTCAATAAACATTTTAAGTTGCAATAATACATGTTTGATATAAACCTTAAGCAAATACTTCAAAGATGTACATATGTATGCTTTTTATAAATTAAACAACCAACTTTTAAAGAAGTCCTCCAAAAGGCCTTCTGAAGAACGTCTGGAAGGCCTTCTATGGGTAGCAAAAGAAGAAGCCATTCAATTTGTGCCACTCCATACAAAAAAGAAAGGAGAAAGGAATGTAAAGTGGAAGGCCTCTTGACTATCAGGAAGGCCTTCGGAAGGGCTTTTAACTCCTGAAATTATCTACTGGGATATTACGTCAAAAAATCAACTAAAAGTCCGGAAAAAGTCATTTAAAACTTGGTGCAGTTCACGCAAAATAGACTACAGGACGCAATAAAATAAAAAAGGATACTAAAATTAGTTTCAATGTCATAAAAAATGCCAAATACTTTTGTCCAGCTGAGTTGCCTTAATATATTGAATTATTTTAAATTTAGTTTAAATAAATTAAATATGCTGATTTCTTCTTTGATATGAGACCTTTCTTTACATTTTTATAGAAAAATATATTTATTGGATTTTCTTCCTGTTTTAAAATTTTTTGTCTCAGTATGTTGTAATGCCGGCCACTTTTGTCCATGACTGTACCTGAGAAGTGATGCTAATTTTCTTGTAGGCCTTGATAGGGAAACAAATAATCAAAAAATGTAATTTTCCACACACCCCCAAAATCTTCACTTATGGTTAAAACCCCTGTTTTGCTTAGCTTTGCGCACTTAAACGCCCCCCACCCACCGGTTAAAGAAAGAAGAAACTTAGACATTTTGAATAATGTACACTTGTGGCCAGCTGATTAAGTTAAGTGAGTGACATTTTGACCAGTTTTGGCTACTTTTCTTTTTATTTAATGTTCATGTCAATTTTTAAACTTTTATAGTGGATATGTGTGTTAGGGCGGGTCATTTTTTTTCACTATGCGCATATAGCATAGGAGGATTCTACGTGTAATTCTAAGCAAATTTGCCAAAGAAATCATGGGTCTACAATCAATTTCTGACATACAAATTGACCCGTCGCTAATGTGTGTGCTCGCCAAGCCACACACAATTTTGTTCACTTTTTTCAACGTTGGCGATGTTTTAAGCACTATTTCATAAAGCAACCATACTAGCCCTGAATTGATTCAAAGAGAACGTTTAATAAAAAATCGGGTTAAAACAGACTGAGTTATTCAACTTAAAAAATTTTATGCTAAACAACTAAAAAATGTTTGCTTAAGAGTTTTTTTTTTATAGTTCAGCTTATCAGAAAAAATATATTAAAAAAAGTTAAAAAAAAAAATTGCTTACCTTATTATTTCTTTTAAAATTTTTAACTAAACCCATATTTTAAATTAAAACTGCTAGCAAAACCTTAGCTAAGAATAGTTTATGAATTAGTGGAGATTTTCAAGATGTTTAATGGATTTTCAAAAACAACACTCGACTAGGCTTAGGACCTGCAATCTGTCGCTTAAAATGTTCGTGCAATTTTCTTGATTTTGTAACAAGGTATTATATTCGCGTAATGTTTGCAATATACATACATACATATTTTATTTTATAATTGTTCTACGCTTAAGATTGAATGGAACATTTACATATCTACATACTATTTTATTTTTCTTAATGAGCTCTCCTTTTATTTAGCCATGAATGTCTGCATTGAATACCACCGATCTGTATTGTTTAATTTTTTTCGCCACAGGCTATTTTTTAGGATATCAATCTCTTTATGCTAATAATATTATATTAAGTATGGCAAGGTCTAATATAGGAAAAACAACCCGCAGATGTTGAGTTGTGGATTTATACTTAAAGTATTGTTGAAAAATCGATCCTCACCTTTTTGCCGAATTTGTACTCAGTTGCCATATACATTTTGTTTAACGCAAAAAAAAAAACATTAATGATTCAAAAGCACAACGATTATCAAAACATTCCCGCAATAACGCACAATTGTAAATATTTATATTTGTACACACATTTAATTTCATATTAGTGGTCAATGGCTTTGACCACTTAAGTACCTCTTGTTGATAAAAAATCCAAACATTATTAAAAATTCACATTCCTCTTTACTCGTCGATTTTACATCCACTCAACACACAAAATAAATATTATCGTATGTCTTTAAATGGTATATTTTAGTAGTAAACGTCGTCATAGTATTCACGCGTCCCACAGCAGCCCATAAAACGTATACGCGTATCTTCCAGGCACAATTTCGTATCCTCTTTGATCTCATTTATTTTCATGCGTACCGCCTCACGCATCAAATTGTAGCACATTGATACCAGGCCCATGCCGATAAGCATATAAAAGAAATTGATTGCTAATTTGGAATTTTGATCGGTTATTAATTGCATATTAAAAATTTCTTCAGGATCGGCAGAAGCATCTTCTTTTATTTTCACTGCTGCCGCATCAATATCAGCTGCAGTGATCAATGACGCTCCAGGTACGAAATCTCCAAACCCAATTTTACACAGGGAAGTCATGCAGAAGTAGAAGGAGTTGAGAAAGGACCATTTTTCCCAATTCGCAAACATAACGGTGCCGGTAAGGATGTAGGATATTATTACCCAAAGGCAAGCTGTTGATGGTACAATAATTTTCTTGCGTTGATATCCGCTTAAGCTTCCATTTTCCAGTGCATCTAGACGAGATTCATATACTGTTCGCTCCTGCGTACACTCGTGCATGCTGCGATAGAGAAATTTGAATGAGCCCGCCAATACTTTGCCCATGTTCAGGAAGTAGAGTATATAGAGTGGTATACCGAATGTCGCGTAGATAACTGTGAATCCTTTTCCCCACGGTGTACGTGGCACCATATTACCATATCCGATCATTGTAATCACTGATAGACAAAACATCAACGCCGCAGGAAAGGACCAAATTTGCTCCGGCGTTCGACCCACATAGCCATTTTTTATCAACGTAGCAATTTCTGTTTGATATTGCCGCAATATTACGTCCGTGTTGTTTTGCCATTCAGCGCGATCAAAAGTGTTGAACTTTTCAGTGATATTCCACATTTTCTCCGCACAATTATTCCGCAACTCAGCGACATAGGCTGTCGTCTCGTCAATATATTCACGCTCTATATGCATAAAGGAGAGTGCGCCAAAGATGGCATACAGTACTATCAACGCGCCCACGCCCACTTGCGTGCACATAAATGTGACAAAGTTACGGCAACAACGTTTGACACGCTTTCGCGGTTGATTGCTGGGAGAGGAGGACGAATTTGAGGAACCGGCGCGGCTGTTACGACGCGAGTTTCGTACGGATTTTGGCATTTTGGATTTCGTATAGAATAAAGTGATATCTAATATATTCTATCCACCATTATGTAATTAGCCTACCGACTCATCCGATGTCAATGCTATTGATAGATTAATACCCTCACTCCGACGCATACATACATCTGAACGTCAATCGATATTATGCCAATTTTGATTTCTACACAGTTTAATAGTTTATCATAATTTCCACACATTTTTCCATAAATCCCAGAAATAGTCCCAAAAATAGCCTACGGCGAGACGCATTACACACTAGCGTTTACGTGAACTACACTTGAAAGCATTTTCAACAGCCACGATCTGTTCATTCTCGTTTACCAAAGACGACTAACGGCTCGCCTAATTAAATATATATTTTCCTATGCAGTAGCACTCAGCTACCGAAATATTCTCTCTTGTTGCATTATTTTATGTTTGTTTTAGCACTCTCGTAAATGTTTGATGTTTGTTTACATACCGATCGCTGTGAGGAGTGCTGAGGCAAAGAGGTAATATCCATTTATTAGTTCAGGGGATGCCTGTGCAGCGTTATCGCACACTGCAATAATAACACATCTCAACAAAAATCTTAAAATTTTATGCGGCACAAGAGCTAAAATGTCAATATGACGCTTTCTTTTTATCTTATTTCAAAGGTTCTACTTCGTATTACAAAAAAAAAAAAATCAATAAATGCATACAAACCATAAAATAATTTAAATCAAAATTTAATCATTCACTATTTTATGATTTTTATTTTAAGCCGAAAATAAATTCATATTATTTGCTTTTTCTTATTTCGCGTAGCGATAATTATTACTTTGTAATTTTTCCACTTAAAAATAAAAATAAAAATAAAAAAATATATAAATAAGTTAAAAGTAATTAAAAATAATAATAAAATGATCTGGATCGAAAAATAAAAATCAAACCATAATAATTTCTTTTTAGCGAAAATATAGAACTAAAAAATATTAATCATTATTTTTAATTTTTAATGGGTTAAACTCGAAAAAAGTGATCGCAGATTATAGCAGCACGTATATGAATTGATTTATTGGTTAGCACCACAAGTTGTTGTATACTGTCGCATTGCTATATGTGCTCATACATCCATATATGTATATACAGTGACTCACAGAAGTATCTTGCATTGATTTTTTTACGATATTCAAACTATTTTTCAAGGTAAATTTTTCGTTGATTTTTTATAGCCAACAACAAAAGCCATGTAAATCAAATTATGAAAATTTCAAAGAAATTAAGGATAATTATAATAATAAACAGATTTTCCAAAATATTTCGAGTATGCAGTTAAATATTCTAGGCAATTTTAGCATAACAAAGTGTAAATTTTGAAGTTGCATTTTCTTCCATATAACGATTTTTTTTTTGTATGGAAGAAAACACCCAACACAATCAGCAAAAAAAAAAACATATCAAAAATCAACGGCATTTTTTTAGCAACTATTTGTGAAAGTATTAATGATTTTCAGTGCTTTTAAAGTTTCTGAGGCGTTGTTTACTTTTACTTGAGAATTGTTTGGTATTACCGAAAATTTTGTGGAAAATACCTAAAAAAAACTCCCTGAAAATTTTAACACCAAATCGCTAATATCCACATTTCTTGAGATATTGGACTTTGAAGTTGATCAACAATTTCTACAATTTAGCTTAATAGTCCATGAAAATTCCACACTACCTCAACTTTAAAGCCCAATATCTCAAGAAATATCGATGTTAGCGATTTAGTGTTTCGAAAAAAAACGAGAATTTCATGAAAAAGTTGGGTTCTGACCCGCACTACCTCGCTGGTGGGAGTACTTAATGTTAATATTGAGGGTTTAAATTTTCAGGGAGTTTTTTTACGGTGTTTTCCACAAAATTTCGAGGTAGGAGAGAAAAAAACAATAGCCGCGAAAAAAAAGCACCCTAATATAGATGCTTCGGAAGAAATTCCGATTTAATAAATACGCTAAAGGAATTTTTATAATTTAGGTGTTAGGGTTTAAGAAAGCTTTACTTAAAAAATATTTTAGAAGGAGGTTGCCATCTGTTTACAAAGTTTAATTCATGCTGGCAGAATTCTATAAGCAAGTGCGAACGTATAATATCGCACCCTAAATCAAAAACCGTCACAACTCGAATTTTTTCAAAATTTATTTATTTCCATAAAACAGTTCAACCATATATCTAACGTCCACCAAAACTTCTTCTGCATCACCATTACCTTTAACTGGTAAAATACTATTAAAACTGTGTTTGTTTTGCTTGCGCCGCACATTGTTTCGACTATATGGCAGGTGGAAAAAAGTCATGGCGACCACTGATAAAAAAAAACAGTTGGGCTTATAGAGGGAAAAGTAAAAGTCATAAATACAAAATTTCAGATCACTTACTCACTCCCCCTCTCCTCGAATGGAACGTTTCCAAAAAAATACTGGAATCGGTGCGACACAGACTAATGTTGTGGTTGGAACAGCATACGAATTCCCCAGAGAAAGGGGAGAGTTGCTGGAGGGACAGTCCTGGGCAGCGTTGCCATTTTAGCCGTTTTCCGGCTAGATTTAGCCGGTTTTGATAGCAACTAGCCGGAGAAAATTCGATCTAGCCGGCAGCCGATTTGTTAGCCGGTTTGTAAAAAAAAGTTAGCCGTTTTTTAGCCGATTTTACTATTTGCCTAATTTTCAGGTGCAAAAAGTAAACAAGTTGTTCGAAAGCAATAATGCAGACACAATGAAGATTTTTAATGAACTCAATGTTTTACTTTCGCATCTATGCTCCCTAGTGGTTATTAGCGCGGACACATTTGATCCTATATGCTTCCCGTTGGAACCATACCTTGCTCCATTTCCTCAGTTTTATCACAGTTTTGAAGAGTATTTAAAAACAAAAGTAAGCACAAACGCTTTTGACCACGAAGCCGAGAAAATAATTCGAGAAAATGGTCGCTATTTTATTATCACTTTAATAAAGGAATTACGCCAACGCCTCCCTACAAATATTGCCACACTAAAAAAAATTTACTTTTTTCGATTGGAAATGCATTAAGAGTAATTAAACCAAAAGTATTTGTTCAACTACAGCAACAAAAACACAAATATAATGACGACGAAATAACATCTATAGAGATGCAATGGCAACGGTTAACGTTACATACCTGGAGTAATTTAGACTCAACTGTAAAATTTTGGGCCGAAGTTTATCAAATTCGAAATGCTCTAGGAGAAAACACTTTTGCTGATCTTTGCAACCTAGTTTTTAGTTTTCTTGTTTTGCCTATAAGTAATGCAGAAGTAGAGCGAATATTTAGTTCAATGAATATAATAAAAACTAAGCAAAGAAATCCAATGTGCGTTAAAACGTTAAACTCTATTTTATATATAAGATACGGTTTAAAACGTGAAGAAAAATGCTGCCATAATTTTACTGTAGATGACGATCTCTTAAAATTAATGAATTCAGCTGATATATACAATAGTGATTCATTTGATGATGAGGAATATACACTCGATATAAATTAATGGTGTTAACTAGTCTTTCGTTTCTTGCGATTTATTTAAATAAAGCATGTGAAATTTCACTTAAACATTTTAGCCGTTTTTAGCCGCTTTTTTTTTGCCAATCTAGCCGGTCGGCCCAAAAAGTTCTGGCAACACTGGTCCTGGGCCAGATATAAATCTGGGTCGTTCCGGTTACGTAGACTCGACTATCGTCGGAGTGACACCGACAAATTACTTTAGTTGCCTTTGGCGCTGAACCCATTAAAGCGAGTGTTTCTTTTTCAAATGTAGTCAATTCTTAAGTGTTGTGTAATACTATAGTGAGGGTATTAATCATTTATTTGGCATTTTCCTATTGGTATTTTCTTATAAAAAAAATTTACTTTGAAAGGAAAGATTATAAAAAAACAAGTAAAAAAGTCAAAGTTCGGGCGGAGCCGAACATTAAATACCCGGCGCAAGTATTAAATATACATATGTATGTTTTTCGCCTTTCCGAAAACTAGCGCTACATGGTAAACAGGGGTGTTTTTACCCCTATTTTAAACATCTTCGATAGAACGTTCAGTTAGAAATAATAAGATAAACTTATGTAACCATATGTGGGCAGCATCACGCCCATTTTCTAAAATTCCAAATAATGTTACTTCTTTTCAGGGGATTGTTACTAGTAAAGATGTTTCGAATGTCATATTTTTCACATTCGCGAATAGTACAGTTATTTACGGCATCACTAAAAAAGGAAATGCCTTGCCATGTGAGAGAGAAACAGAAAGTGAACGCTCGACAACCCACAACAAAATATTTGGCGCGGGAGGGAGATGAGAGAATGAGATTGCGAAAATGTACGTGCATTAGAAGTGTTCCATAATGCAAAAATTTACCTTGCATATTTTTGCCGTGTGTTCTAACTAAGCTTCAAGTAGTGTTCACTGTAAATCGGTACACGTTCCAGCTATTCCTGTACAGCAATTGTTGAAATGTACATATCAAAAAATTTCAATGCAGGTCGTTAGACAATAGATGTTCCATTATGAGGTTTAAATTTCGTAGTACCGGCTTCTAATCTGACAGTTTTATTCCGACATTTCGAGATCAAAAATCAAATTAAAATTAATATTACATTTACATTGGACCAAAATGCGTGATTTGAAATCAGTCATTTGAAGGTGTTTACACTGCTTGATCCGCATTTGCTTTGACTTCTCATCAAATGAAAAGGGAAGACAAAAACAAAATGTATGTAAACAAACACTACATTTATTATATTGTTAACGCTTTTTGGACACAAAAAAAGGCAATTATTCTTTGATTAAACTAAAAATGTGTAAAGCTCTTGTATAAATTAACAATTTTTACACACAAATTTCAAAGATTTATTTATTTCGTTGTGTTTGTTTTGTGTTTGAAAAATTCCAAATGTCAAAGACAAACCAAAGCTTTTGTGGAACTTTTGTTTCTGAGTGCGTTCAATAAAATAGTACGGCAATTGGAACGCATTTGTTTCGTGATTTTGTGTAAATGCGTCGAAATGCGTCATTCTGGAAATGTGAATTTGTATGGAGAAATGCTTGATTTGGCCTCGCATTTGAGGTTTCTCGCCCAAATGACGCATTTGGGCTCAATGTAAATGTAATATAAAGATTTCAAAAACTTCTAATTTTTCTCCAAATATTAATGGATTTTCTTTTTGCTCAAATTAACGGAGTAAGCTAATCATTAAAAAACATGATGTGAATAAAGTTCTGGACGTCATCAATTTGAGTCCTATTTATGTCAAATCGAAAAATATACGGTATTTATTTGAAACAAAATTAGTAGAGATGTGCGAATTGTGAAAAAACATAAACTAAAGATAGTTTAATAGAGCAAGTTGCTTACTGAAGTCTCTAGAATGGCTGTTCAGAAAAATTGTATCACTATCAAAGAAATTGTCTGCTATTTATTTATCCAAGCAAAATATGAAAC